CTTCAAAACTTTACTTCTGCACGACACCACTTGAACATTTGCATTTACAACTTCCGTCTTCTGTGGAGGTCATCTGTATATTCCACTATATCCCATTCCCTGCGGACAGAACATCCCGGCTTTGCAAGGGCGGGAAAAAAGAAGCCGGACTTACATCTCATTGCATCAGATTTTGGCGTTTGAAGACTTAATGGTAACTACTCTAATTAGTCATACTGTCCTGTTTTCATGCATGCAAGTCGACGCGTGTCAAAAAAATAACAGCTTTTTTTTGCAGAGGCGCGTCTCTCTGGGGCAAGAAGCAAGCGCGGCGACGGCGAGCGTAGCATGTAAAAGAAGAACGCTATTAGCTAGATTTCAATCTTTTTTCCGCCGCTATAAGGTGCACGTCAATCAGGCTTGCAGGCGCCCGGCAATGCTATTAAATTTTAAACGCTCACCTGCCTCCACGCTTCCACTTGGTGCGACAATAACAGGCGACGTTTTAATTGTGCGATAGCTGTAATTTTGCCCGTCGGACTTCAAGGAGTGTGCGACGTCTCGGGAGGATGTGGAGTCGAGTTTAGGATGAGAGAAAATGCAAAAAGGGCAAGTGGAGGATATATTTAGAGTAGTGTCCCGCTGAGCCTGTGTCACCTTGACCTAACGAGACTAATCTGTCTATTATCAGTGTTTTACTACATTTAAAGCTGAGGTACCTAACTATCAACAAAAACGATGTACTACAATCCTTCTAACTAGTTCCTGAAACATTTTTTGGTTCTGCCACAAGTTTTCTTTCAATTTTCCTTCTTTCTTTATTGTTTATGATCAGACACTGTATATCAGGGGTCTCCAACCTGTGGCTCAGGAGCTACCAGTAGCTCGCCAGCCCCTTTCAGGTAGCTCGCCGAAAGATTTAGAATTTAATACATGATCTTGAATTAATACATTTTGAGCCATTACACATCTTTTAAGTATGAATATAGGGTTATACAGTATTATGATATATTTTACTTGTGCTTTCCAGGTTTTGTTGTAATTATTAGATAGATTTTTAGTATGACTAAAAAAGTTAGTAGCTCTCTGCCTATTTGTTTGTATAAAAGTAGCTCTCCAATTGTAAAAGGTTGGAGACCCCTGCTGTATATGGTCTGGAACTAAAGTTACAAAACATAACAGCAAAGCAATGCATAAAAAAGAGTCTCGTGCTCTACCAACTGAGAAGACAAAGGATGGATGGATGGACCTTTTTCAAAAATGCACAAAGTTTACAAAGTATTCTGTGGATTCCATTTTGCATAAGTGTGAACATGTTTGCATTGATGTGTATTTTTTATAATACTGAGGGAGATGTCTCTGAATGCATCAACTTCACTGTTCAATAGACTGTCAGTGGGTTTTATTCTCTCGCTGCAGATATTTCTCAATTTCAAAAACAGCTTTCAATTTCACATGAAAATCACACGATGACACCCTCAGGCATTCTCACCACCTCTGGATAAACTGCTCATTTTAGTGTTAGCTCTAAAAGTAAATGAGAGAGTGAATGGATGGTGTTGATTGGGGCTGATGGTCCAGTGTGTTCGGCGACTCGCTTCCGTCATCACCGTGTGTGGAATGATTGGAACAATATCTGAACTCTGAACATTGTAAAGCGCTTTGGGTGACCTTGGTCTGTAAAATGCGCTATATAAGTAAACATTACTTACTTACTTGGAAATTGAGCCAAAGCAATTTCCAAGTCTGTGACTTCCTGTTACTTACGTGGCAATAAAAATGATTCTGATTCTGATTACTTACTTACTAGCTCTACAGGGAGTTTCAGCCACATTCACATGTGTCTGTCACATCTTCAGATCAGCGTTCTCAACCCAAAGTGTCAGATAGTGACTAACAGGGCTCTTTCTTACAAGTATGGTAATCCTGTATTTGTCGTTGTTGCGCACATTACAGCAGAAGAAAAGGATGGAAATAAGAGCACTCAGATTGCACACATAAAATGAGCTACTGTATATAAATAAACATGACTTACTATAATAAGTCATGTTTATTTATATAGCTCATTTTACAGACCAAGGTTACCCAAAGAGCTTTACAATGTTCAGATGTTGTTGCAATCACTCCACGTGGACATCTTCATCATTATAGATAATAATTCAAATAATAAAATAAAATAAACATTTGATGCAAGGATAGTAATCCTTGTAGTAATCCTTGTAGTAATCTTGTATCTTGTAGTATACACTGTGGCCAGCAGGAGATATTTACAAATGTTTGTGTTGTACTTTAGCAGCAGAGAATATAACCAGAGTAAACAATTATAATATATTCAGCAGGTAAAGTGACTAGTGTTCTCTAAAAAGATGAAGACAGCATGATGTTGTCTGACAGTACTTTTACAGGAGTCTTTCTGTTTGGACAGACACAATGTTAGGTACCCCAGCTTTAAAGCCCGTGTATATGATATGCTCTTAATGGTCTTTACAAGTGATTGCAATTACAAAGCAACTTTTGACGCCAGAATATTCCTGCTTGTGACATGTATGTAGCTCCAATGTGTTCTTATTACTGCTGTATATCACCTGCTGGAGGTTAGATGCATAGAAATGTAAAATGCAACATTGACCTAAAACAGATAGTTTGCCTAAAATAAGTTGTGTAGTCTAACTTTTGTATATATAATAAGAAGACTGTATATATTAGAATGGAAGTCTTTATATCTATTTTTGTTTTATGTTTGTATAACTTGTTTGCACCATAACCAAAGCAAATCCCTAGTTTGTGACTGGCTGGAAAAATATTTGGATTCTAATTTTTATTATTATCATTTGAACCCGACATGTACTTTGACTCTTTCTTTTACAACATCAATAAACAGTAGATATAATCAAAGTTATAAATACAGCTGTGGGTGGGGACAATGTGTAGGTGAACTTAGTTTCTTCTGACCGTGCAATTCTCAAATCTAGGACAAATCAGGATTCCTTAAAATCCACTACTATACAACTTTTGAGTCGGCAGTTTCTAAAGCAGAACCAAAAAGTCATATAAGGGGCGTTTGCTGGTCATTCTAAAGCAGCTAAAGATAAAGATTTATAATTACAGACGTGCCACTATTCTATAAAATATTATTGTGTATGAAGGACTGGATTTAGCACTCTGCTGCCTCCCACTGTTTCAAAAGGTACACTGCACTGGGACTCAAAATAGTTGTGATTATTGTACACCAAGCTATCTATCCAGTTTGTATTCAATAAGGGTCATTGAAAAAAAAAAATATTCTTCCTCGCCAAAGCAGGAGGGTCTAAGGACAGTGATGATCGGACATTTTTGACATTGGTTATTCTTCTCTGTATGGACCAATGGCTCCTGTGCGTGCATATTTTTTGATCTAGCTGATTCTATATTGATTCTCTGATTTGTTGTTGGCAAATCAGCAACTTTATAAAGTCCTCCGAGACGACAGCTGTTGTGATTTAGGGCTAAACAAAAATAAACTCAATTGAAACTGAATCCAGAACACAATACACTCAATCATCACCTATTTCCAGCGTCGAGTCCTTGTGACTTGCTGTTTCTTTTCCTGTCGATCTATAGAGTAGGTTTACTTTTTAATCCGTTCATATTGGTGTATTTAGGCTGCGGCATTCTTAACCTCCTGTATCACTCGTCATCAGGCAACATCCCAGTCCATCCTAATTCCATCAGTGAGCGTTCAGCAGTGGCTCCTCCCACGTAATACTCTAAGCTCTTGCACATGAGACTGTTTACAAATGTTACAACTATCTCACTCACAACAAGCCGCCATCAAAAGGGGTCTGTATGGTTTTTCCAGGGCTGATCCCGATATTGAGAGGTCGAGGAGGCCGATTAACCGATTTATAGAGCTGATATTAGTTTGCTGTAAAAGGGAAAATATTAGTGCCACAATGTTGAATAATCCAACACGACCTGAAACACCGGTTTATTTAACAAAACCAATCAAATATAGAAAAAATACTTGCTCCCACGGTGTAGACTGGATGTGATGGAACGGTGGATAAACCAGGGTTGGAATCCTGCTCGGAACGGGGCCTTTCTGTGTGGAGTTTGCATGTTCTCCCCGTGCCTGCTCTGTGTCCCCCCGGGTGCCAGACCTGGATTTGCATATTCTTCCCGTGTTACCTCCCCGTGCTCCAGTTTCCCCTACCACTAAAAACATGTACAATGGGCTCTATGCACGCACCACTTCCGCGTTTTAGCTAAAGCCCCACTTCACTTCCTGTTCGCGGGTAACGGCTTGAGTTTCACTGGAGTTCAGCAGTGGTTTACACGAGTTTCCTAAATAATGCTCAAACGGGAATTAAACTGTGGATACTGGGCATTTTTGGGACACAGCAGTGCTCTTTTTTGATTGATTGTGCTGTCATTGTGTTTTTATAAAGTTTACAAATCTCTCTGAGTGGCCACAGTCAAAGCTCTACCTCAGAGAGAAAGCACAGCCACACTTTTGGGTCAGTCTCAGCTGAAAGTATCAATCTAATTACTAAAAAACGTCACTAAAACCCACCTAAAAGCCATAGGATAGCATAGGCAGGAAGTGGACGGGCTGATCTTTGTTAACAGGAAATGACGTCACGCCTCCCTGTGCACATAGCCCATAGGTCTGGCATGAGCTTCCTGTACGGCGACCTCGCTCCCATCTCTGTGTGGAGTGACAGACAAATGACCTCAACAATTATTAAGTGCTTTGATACTCTGTGAAAGTGAAAGGCGCAGTGAAACACAAGCGCTAACCACCGCGCCAGACATAAAGAAAAGAAAAAATCACACAAAATGATATACTGATATTGGTCGATATCTGTACCATACTGTAAATCAGTTAACCACTATCTTTCTGAGTCATTGCACGGTTTAAGATTCTTTCTTTTCTTTGCTTGGTTCTGCTGCGTTTTCCATTTTTCTCGCACATTTCACCGTTTGTGATAGTGACGTTGTGCTTGTTGTGTTTGTGTGCAGGGCTGTGGGGGCAGATCTCGATGCCTCAGACCAGTATGAACGTGATAAAAGGACAGAAGGTGGTGCTGCTGGCCACATACAGGAGTCCCCCAGACACCGACCCCAGCGCCAACACCATCCTGTGGAACTTTTTCTCCGATAGCCCACAACTGGTGAGTGCACACACACACACACACACACACACACACACACACTCAGGCCAAACGGTGCATTTACCAACTACACTCATTTAAGAACAATGCTTGAATTAATGTTTATTCCATTTTGTATTATTTTGTATTGGAAATGCACTTGTGGAAGCTAATGGGGATCCAAATAACGAAGTAGATAATTAAGAAAAAACTAACAAACTGCATCAAACTCCCAAACACAGAAATCTTTCGCACTTACAAAATAATGTATATTGAAGAGGTGTGATTTATATCAGCTTTTGCCGACAGAAAAGTGAAGTAAATATTATATTCATCCTTGCTCAGTCAATCAGCCCAATAAGAGACTGGAGAGGGTGACAATCAGCTCCCAATTCACAGAACACTTGCTCCTCCTTGAAAGCCTAAATCCAGGACTCTGTTGGGAACTTTTTTCATATTCAGAAGCAAAAAATAAGAATAATGAAAATAGATAAATGATAAAATAACACATATAGAGTCAAGTAAGTAAGTAAGTAAGTTGCTGAAGTAGAAGTAAAATTAGTGACACAAAAAACTATTCATTTACCGTACCACTCAAAAAACTGCTTCGTCCAACTCCAATCTCTTTTCAAACTGTATCTCTGTATCTTGTTTATTGTTTTGTATAAACTATGAATGCGTTTGAAATCCATAACTACCATACCACACCGAGTATACCTGAAAAAATCATCCAAGATCATTCTCTCCTGTGTTAATGAATGTGCTTCCCTCTGCATTGGGCAAAAAGACAAATATGAAAAGGGAAAAACACTTCTGAGTTGTAGTTATGGAGAAAAATGTGCCGCCGTCTGGTTTGTTCTGTGGCGGTGAGCGCAGCCAAAGACATGAATGAGGAGAGCGAGGCTTTGGTGGCTTCAAAGTGCCCTTGTCTGTGAGGGATCTGCCACACAGCTGAGCTAAAGCTACGTAACACTACAGAGGAGATCCTACTCATGAAACGGTCCACTTTTGCCAGAGAGAAATCCTCCCCCAACATCAAACAGTCTGAGAATAGTTTCCTCTCGCTACGCTCCGAAATATGAACGTAATGAGGTACTAGATTAGACGAAGGATTGCACAATGAAAATGATCGTTTCAATATTCATTTAGAGAAATTTAGACTTGTCGTTCCTAACTGTCGTAGTACAGAGCTCAGTATAGTGCTGTGATGGGAGAATGCTGTAAGTAAGTAAGTCATTTAGTGAGTAATGTTTATTTGTGTAGTGTATTTTACAGACCATGCTCACCCAAAGCTGCTTTACAAGGTTTGTATTTCAGATATTTATTCGTTCACTCCACACACAATACAATACAATACAATACACTTTATTCTTGTATACATAGTTCCCACAGACCAATGAATGTCACATGACCTCCTCGGAGACGCCATCTTTGATGGCACGCTGCTGTGTTTGTGCATTCCATTAAACAGAAGAATGAGAATAAATGTAGATATTCAAACGCAAATTGGAAAAAAAGGGCAACTTTTGAGCAAATAATTGTATATTAATACAATGGCACCACAGTTTAACGTGCTACGGACATGTTTTACATATTTGATCAAATTATGCAGCAAAAATTAACAAGCAATGCAAACATTTCTCAAACACTTTAGATTTAATACCAGTTGGAGCTCCATTTAATTATTTTAATTATATTAACAATTAATTTAATTAATGCTAATGCCACACGGACACTCTGGATTGCTGTTATTGTTTATTTCCGCGTTTTTGACCGTATGTTTTGGTGAATGGTGGGCAACTGATTTTTCCAGGCGTAAAGAGCAGTTTATTTTATGACACAGATCTTTTTACAGAAGCAATGCTGTTTGTGAACATTGTTTTAGCCCACCATAGAACTATTATTATCTATTTAATACATTTACGTTGCCCTCGAGAGCCTCGGACGCGACACCGATCCTCCTCATAATAAAGTAATCTAACGCTAAATAATGAAACTCTCAAGTTACCAGATATCAGCATACACAAGTTAGTACTGAGTAAATTACGTCTGTCAACACATTATAAGATACGATATGCACCTGACACAAAGTGCTCCGAGCATATTCTTGCGTGTTTTGAGGGAGTTTCTTGCCTGTTTATCTTCGCAAGCCATAACCTCCGTGGTTGTTCTGACAAAAGCTTAGTCTTCTCACATTCATGAAGTCTAATGATGGGTATACTGTAAAATCCAAGTTTAACGGAACCTCCGGCACGATTTGAACATCCATTGACCCAGCAGGAGATGACCATTTTCAACTTTATCACGACATTAACACGTTTCAGCTTCTTTTTCTATTGTTTTGCCCACAGCATGCCAATACAAATGGCGCCGGGTCGGCAAATCCCCGTATGTAGTGACGTCATGTAGGAACTATGTATAGCCCTAGGTCACAACAGAAGTCATCTCAGAGGACTTAACAAAACCATTGAAATCACCAACACAGGTCAGAGAATCAACAGTTAAAACACAAAAAAATATAGAACACATGTTGATAAATGTCATACATGTTGTAGAATGTTAAAGTGTCCTGGATCATCACCACATCCTTCTAGTTGGACACTAACTCTCCAACAGACCCTCCTGCATCGGCAAAGAAAAACTAAAAAAATGCCCAGTGGGAAAAAAGTGAGAAATCTCGGGGAGACCCACATATTGAGAAAGGGATCCGCTCCTCCGGACGGACAGGCTAATGATCCAGGACCTAAGCTAGCTACAGAACGTGGACCAGTGGCCGCTGAACGTGGACAGGTCCGGTGCAGGACTGAAGCACTCCCAGGCGGGTCGGGCGGGGCAGTCCGCAGGTGTAGATGGAGGAGGCCAGGCTCAGAGATCCCGTCATCGTACCATGAAACAGACAATGGGACAATGGGTGAATAGCAATGAACAAACTACAGTCAAAATCCTAATAATGCTAAACAGATAAAGTAGGAAGGAGGAGAGGATAGTGCTCAAGTTACCATACTTCTCCCAGCAAACTGACTCCCTATGCAGCTTGACTAACACTCTGAGGAGTTTAGCCTTCCCTGAGTCTTACCTTCCTAGCCATATGCTAAACCAGTGTCTCCCAAAGTGGGGTCCGCGGCCCCCTGGTGGGCCGCGAGGGTACTGCAGGGGGGCCGCGGGAGGTCGTAAAAAAATAAAAAAATAATATAATTATTTAATGTTAAATTTATAATGTTTTGTTTGTAATATTAAAATATTTGTGTTCATTATTTGACTTGAATAATCCACTGTAATCATTTTTGTATTACAATGTTTGTAGCAGAGGCTATTTCCCCAAAATAAAATAACCAGAAGAGCCTATTCTTAATGTTGTCTTCTTGGTTATTATTTTGGGGGGCCACGCAGACCTGTCAGATTTTTAAGGGGGCCTCGGTGTTTCTGAGTTTGGGAACGGCTGTGCTAAACTAAAGAGGACTGTTTTAGCCTAGTCTAGAACGTAGGGCTGAAGATGCAGCGGACCCGGTCCCATATACACAGACTCCAAGACCGGACGAAGACAGAGGAGATCCTACTCATGAAACGGTCCATTTATGCTGTAATAAAAGGCATTCTAGTAGGCGAGTTTATTGTGCATCTACTTTTTCAATTTGTGTCCATATATTTTTGTAAATAAAATAAAAACTTTGACATTTCACAATATTGCACATATTGCAATGATTGAATGAGGGACTCCATTTTAATTTACCAGGTTTTTTGTCTCTCATCAACTTTATTGGGATGTACATTCGATACAATTTACAATCTACATCATGTTTTATGTTTTGACATGTTATAATATTAAGTTTATGTAATACAGGCTTATTTTTGTCAGTAAACTACTATTAGTGTTCGGTGTTCCTCTGTCGTGCCGAAGTCATGAAACATCAGTAATCCCTGCATGTATTTCTCTGAAAGCAATGAAAGTCCTTCTGACCCAAGCCGATCCTGTCAATCCAGTTCTCACACACTCACTGCTGCCTCTGCAAACCTGCGCAACTCAACTTTGATACACCATTGTTTTTTTGTTTTTCAGTATTATATATTTATTTGTACAGTATACAGTGGCTCAGTTGGTAGAGCATTGGCCTTTGAGCCAACGAGACCTTCTCCACCGACTCCCACTGATGTCTGCTGTTGTTGTGTCCTTGGGCAAGACACTTAACCGCACTGAGGGTGAGACTGAGGGTGTGAGGTGCTAGTGCTCTGTGAATTGGGTGCTTACTCTATGTTTCTTTATTTATTATTTATAAGATTCTATATTGAAAACATAAATACATTGATAACATGTTGACTTTAATAACAATTTCAAATCAATTAATAAATATACAATACAGACAAAAAGTTTGGACACACCTTCTCATTCAAAGAGCTTTTTAATTTTCATGATTATGAAAACTGTAGATTCACACTGAAGGCATCAAAACTATGAATTAACTCATGTGGAATAAGTACGTATGAAACAACTGAAAATATGTCTTATATTCTGGGTTCTTCAAAGTAGCACCTTTTGCTCTGATTACTGCACTCTTGGCATTCTCTTGATGAGCTTCAACAGTTATTGACCTGAAATGGTCTTCCAACAGTCTTGAAGGAGTTCCCAGAGATGCTTAGCATTTGTCGGTTCTTTTGCCTTCACTCTGTGGTCCAGCTCACCCCAAAACCATCTGGATTGGGTTCAGGTCCGGTGACAGGAGGCTGGGTCATCTGGCCCAGCACCATCACTCTCCTTATTGGTCAAATAGCCCTTACGCAGCCTGGGTGTGGATCTTCAGTCAATAGTCATGAAAAGACAGGAAACTTATTGAACGAGAAAGTGTGTCCAAACTTTTGGTCTTTACTGTAAATAGAACCGAAAACCGAACCGTATCAAATCATTCTGAAACATTGGATAGAATTTAAAGTTCCCTGTATCTAGATATGTTTTCTATTGACACTCTTTAAACGATACTCAGCCCTGATACCAACTGTAACCATTTAATTTCAGCACTAAAAAGCATCCTGTATCAGATAAAAGAGGTGTGAAATTGGCTGCTCGTTCTTCTTAGTGGAAAAGTGAAAAAAACAAAAACACACACTATTCATCCATGACCTGGACAAATACTTGATGTGAAGTCCAGCTGCGATGCCTGGCATAGTTTATACTCCTGCCATAGACTTAATCATGTTAATCCTCTTACAAAACGTTTTAAACAGGTCTTTTATTCTGTTTTTTGTTGTTGTAAAATTGTGCTGTACAGATTTTGACATTATGATTGATTTTGATTGTATATAATTAAATGGCCTGAGCTACTTTCCATCGGCGAAGTGATTTCACGATAATCATCCAATATAAAAGCACACTTGTCCTAAAGTGGGTTAGCTCGACATTTTAAAAAGACTCAGTAAAATAGTGGATATTTGTAATCATTTCAGTACATTTGCTCCCCGTGGCTCATATCAAAAAATATACTCAGCTGAGAAAGACCAGGACAAGAGGTGAGATGGCTGGCCTTGAGAATCTACAGCATAACTCACATAAAAGTTAGTGGTGCCATATAAAGATGGATAATGTGTGTTGTTAATTATGTAAAATAATAATAATAATTTGAAAATGTTTTTGAAACGAGTGGTGGAATTTTTTTTTTTTTTTTTGAAATAATAATTGGGAATCAAAGAAAATGAATATTGTCCGATGGATAGCGAACAAAATGAAGCCATTTTTTAAAACCAACCAGTTGTGTGAGCATTGATGAGTTAGAGGACACCTGAATGTAAACATGTAAAATGTGTTTTTATTGTGTTAAAAGTTCTTCTAGGGACAGACATTGCAAAGTGGCCTTGGCTATAAATGTTGTAGTGTTTCACATGTTGATTGTGTTCACCATTAAATAAATAAATACCATTGCTGCTCTCTCATGTAGATCCACTGCTCATTCATGTGTCTGTTTGCTCTCTCTCCGTACTCAGATCATCTCGTACACTAAGGACTCAGTGAACGTGGGCAGCTCGACTCAGTTCAAAGACAGAGTGGGCTTTGCGGACCCCAACCCTCTGTCCAACATCTCCCTGTACATCAACAACACCCAGGAGTCCGACTCGGGTCAGTACCTCTGCCAGGTCATCGGCCCCGCCATTTCGGGCTTCACCGCCGAGCTCAGCCTGGACGTCAAAGGTACTCCCCGACCTGCACTGGTTCCATCAGCACATCACTGACTACAGAAGTTTGAATGTTGGAAATATAAAGATCTTATTGCAGTAGTAAAGGTCAGAGGTCTCTTAGCAGCAATCTCATGGTGGCTGGGCACTCGCTTAGTAAGTAAGTAAGTAAGTAATGTTTATTTATATACCGCCTTTCACAGACCAGAGTCACAAAGCGGTTTACAATTGTTATTATTTTTGGGCACTTGTCCTCTCACTCCACACAGAGATGGGAGCGGGGTCGCCAAACAGGAGGCGCATGCAGACCTATTAGAGCTCAGAGTAGCGCCTCTGCTCCTCCACGTTGAGAGGAGCCAGCTGAGGTATAAAAAGTCACCTTAAAGGTCTTCCAGGCGTGTCCCACCGGGAGGCGGCCCCAGAGCAGCGCCTCTGGACATGGATGATCTTGAGCAGAGGAAACATTTCTCTACAATAAAATATACTTTATCTGTCCTTAATCGTAAATGTTTATTTGTGCACAGTTGTTTGTTTTACAAAGACAGCATGAAATCCAACTAAAATCCTACTTCAACCTTTGCAGAAAATCTATTTTATTCTTTTCTAGTGCATTTAGTGTTGGCTCATTATCTAAAAAAGTGAAATATAACACTTGCTACAGATGTGTCATGTGATGCATCAGGTGATTTGCCCTGATAACGCTCTCCGTCATGTGTCTTCAGTACCTCCTGCTGTCCCAAAGTGCTCCCTGTCCGGGAAGCCCATGGCGAAGGGGAACGTGACGCTGAGCTGCACGTCCAGTGCTGGCAAACCCATCCCCGTGTACAAGTGGAAGAGGAGCAGCCCCACCTCCGAAGTCTTCTTCTCCCCGATGCTCGGTCAGTGGCACTGCAGCACTCGCACCGCTACATGCTCTGTACAGTGACGGACAAGGACATTATTAGCATTGATGCCCTTAGGCTGTAGATCCAGGACTCAGGCTGTAGATCCAGGACTCAGGCTGTAGATCCAGGACTCAGGCTGTAGATCCAGGACTCAGGCTGTAGATCCAGGACTCAGGCTGTAGATCCAGGACTCAGGCTGTAGATCCAGGACTCAGGCTGTAGATCCAGGACTCAGGCTGTAGATCCAGGACTCAGGCTGTAGATCCAGGACTCAGGCTGTAGACCCAGGACTGAGGCTGTAGATCCAGGACTCAAGCTGTAGATACAGGACTCAGGCTGTAGATCCAGGACTCAGGCTGTAGACCCAGGACTGAGGCTGTAGATACAGGACTGTAGATCCAAAGGTCAACAACATTTCTTTGAGAGAACCCAACCACAGTTGTGTGTCAGGTTTGTGGAGATGCAAGCCTGCTCACAGTCAGCTAAGTCTAAGGGGCTCCAAGCTTTCATAGGTTCCAGAGTAATTAAACCACTATTAAGGATTATTTTTGCATCTTTAAAAAGGTGATGTGCTCAAACTGGTACTTAAAACAAGAATATGACATCACATATTTTTGTGTGTTTTATTTAACTCATGTCTACACGTCTTTTTTCACGTCACAAATAGAAAAAAATATATATATATATGCACTTAATTTAAATGTATCTGAAATTTGTGATGCGACAAATTGAAGAATAAATTGAATTGAATATTGATGCCATTAGCTTTTGCTCAGCTTCATGACTTCATTCTGGTGGATTTGTTGTTTGCAGACGAGAACCTGGGCACTCTGAAGCTGGCCAACCTGAGCTCCAGTATGTCCGGGAAGTACGTGTGCACGGCCAGCAACACGGCGGGCTCCGAAAGCTGCGTCATCAACCTGGACGTCATTTCCTGTACGTGCACCACACATTGAACACCACAATGTCTTTTTTTGTGAAGTTTTATGGAATGTTTGCTGGTTTTTTGCTCATAAAGTAGTCCCTTTCCTCAAGCACGAGAGAGACATGAGAGACGTGTTTGTGTGTTGTTTATGTTGAATATTTCTAATTAATGTTAACTAACTAATGCACAAATATGTTCATTTCTTCGTGTTGGAACAGCGCCCAATGCAGGGATGATCGTGGGCGCCGTGGTGGGCTCCGTGGTGGGCTTCCTCCTCCTGCTGCTCCTCTGCATCATGTACCTGCTCAAGAGGAGGCGGGACAACGAAGACGACATGGCCAATGAGATCAAGTGAGTGCTCAGATTGTTCCCTCATCAGAACATACTTTTCCAGAAACCAGGAAACCTACTGTCCAATCATCTTCTGCGCCTTCAAGCAGTCATCATTTTAGGTTAGATTTAATTATAGATGTAAAGGGGATTAGATGTATGTACTCATGTTATTTACTAATGTTTTACTAATTACTAATGTAATTTACTAATGTCAGTTAAAGATATAGATTTATTGTAGTAATGTTAGCCTACTGACTTATTTATTATCAAAATATGGTATCTGATTCTGAGACCAATATTGTCTGTTTACTCGGTCCCCAGGGAGGACGCCCAGGCGCCTAAGCGGGTCTCCTGGGCCAAGAGCAACATGGGCTCAGACATAATCTCCAAGAACGGCACGCTGTCCTCCATCGCCTCCAGCCCGCGGCACAAAGAACACCTCCACCACGAACACAACCACCACAACCACCACCACAACCACCAGCAGCTGCAGCACTACCCCCGGAGAGCCCCCTCGGACACCGCCTCCATCACCACGGCGACGGGCAGCGTGACGGGCTACAGACCCTCGCGGCAGCACCACCACGGCTCCTCCACGCCCACCCCGACCAACTACGACCACAGCGGCACCCTGCCCATCGGCCAGGCCCCCCAGGCCCAGCCGGAGCGCTATGGGCATCTACCCCAGGCCCAGTTAGTGCCCCAGACGTACGGCCAGGCCCCGTCCCCTCCACCTCTGCCCACCTCCACCATCACCCATGCCAACATTGCGCGCATGGGTGGGGTGCCCATTATGGTGCCGGCTCAGAACCAGGCGGGCTCGCTGGTCTGACCGCCACATGTGCACCGTAGACGTTTCACACGCCTCGCTGGAGCAGCTTCCTGCGTGCCAAGAAGAAGGCTTTGATCTGTGCTTGTAGTGCGTAGAGATGGCTTTCATAAAACGCTCTTTTATACGGGAATGGTTTTTACTAAAAAGGAAACATGGAGGTCAGATTTTGAAGAGAAAATATGAAAACATGCCTTCTGTGGTGTGATGCTGTGGTACACAGACTCTGACTTCGGTGCCAGTTCCGGTGGATTGAGAAGATGCTTAAAACAGTACAGTACATGGACCTCGGAGATCCATGTGTGACTTTGGGCAAAACCAGAGCACTGTGGCCCGGAGGCTGTGTGTGTTACATCTCAGTCTAAATGTCCCGCACCGAAGCCGGAGTCTGTGTATGCCAGCTGCAAGATGGCAACTTTAACAATTATATTAAAGCCCTCTGGGTAAAAAGAAAGTACAAAATCATGTGTATTTTCTGTGAGCCGGCTTGCCTATCCACAAACCCGACTCGTACGTGTCATGGAGGAGGTCCTCCTGCTTCTTTCCAAGGAAATGCTGTTTTCTTACCACAATCCACAGACCTTAAGTGTGGTTTTTACTTTATTTTTCCATTGGAATCTTGCAGGTGATAAACCACGTCCACAAAGTTTCTGCCTTCAGCGAGTTGAATAGAAAAAAACATAAAATGTTGTGAGGTGAGGAACTTTCACAGAAAATCAGACTAAGAAGACATGTTTGAGTAAGTAAGAATCTATGCCAATATACGTTTGTATCTTCATTTCTTATGGACTTGTTTCCCAAGTGTAAAACTAAAATGAAGGAAAAAAAATCTAATATTACAATATACAAAGGATTTGCCTTAACCTAAAGTAAAGTAACATTTTACTATTCAGCTATAGTAACATTATATATTATTAGTTTTCCATAAAGATAATGATTTAGATGCACCGTACAAAGATTATAAAGACTATAAAGCACCACACCGTTTAAAAACAACATCACACGCTCTGATTCTGCCCCCTTGTGGCTGAAGTGTGTCCTCTCCACGTCTCAAAAATGAATAATATTAAAGTAACATAAGAAACTTATTTCACTGGTTGTTGTGGGTTTTGTTCGGGCTCATGGCGATAACCAACCAAAACAGTGTCATTATGTTTAGAAATAACAAATACTTGATAAATATTCTGATGTTTTGATGTCTGGATTACTATAAACATCTTATTTAAGAAAAGGTAGAACCATACTTTGTACAATATTTCATACTTTCTAAAGCTTCTAGTTATATCAACACGCAAACATTCTGTGTATATGTAATATTTAAGTGAAAGTGTTCGACAGCTCTGGCTTCGTTTTAAATTATGATTCTTGCCTAAACACTGGAACCAAAGATATTGTCTTGAATGCTCTCATTTTCTTTTTTATATTTTTGTTTGTATAATATTCACTGCCGCTAGTCGCACTCTTTAGACTGTTACAATTTAACACAATTATCCCAAATGTCCAGGTGCCTATTTTTCAACTTGTTCTAAATTCCTGTTCTGTGTTTTTTCTATGTAAGGCGACATATCAATGGGTTTCTTTATAATTCATCTGAGGATTACCAACATGTTTCTGTTTGAAAGAATAAAAACAATCATAAAGTATTATATGCATATAAATTCATGGAAATAATGTGTTAAAATATGACACGATGTGGAATGAACTTTTTTATATTGTTTTATGGATCTTAAATGATCTTAAATGACTTTTTGTGTGCTTTGAACCACCACGCTTGGAGCAGTTTTCTACCTGATAAAACAAATGATTGCCCCTAAATTCGTTTTGGCATTTTATAAAGTGTAATTGCCCTGTTTTACCAACTTTTACCCTTCGTACTTGTTTCACCATATATTTTCTATTTAAGATATAATTTTACAGTCTAAAACATGAAATGACAAAGAAAACAGTGTCATTATACTGTGCATGGGCCAAAAATAATGAATTATACAAGAAGCCGTCGGACTTTTCTGCAGTTTTAAGCGAGAAGGCAATTAACTGGATTATAAAATGAGGTATTTTAGATCAATATTGTGCACCACAAAGTGAAAGCACCTGGCCCTGTACAATAATGTAATGTCCTTTATAAAAATATATATATATATAATTTTTTAATATAGTCCCTAACTTTTGGGATATTCACCACGAGTAAGATTTTCTGGATGAGGAGGAGAGTAGTTTTACTGATGGGGAGGATTTGAATTAATCACATCCAATCAGGCGGCTGCGGGTTGAGCACGAAGGTTCTTACCAAAGGTTGCAAAGGAAAAGTTTACCATTTGAAAAGTAAGTGACATTCAGTTTAATTCTGCTGTGGTCACGGTAAAAAACATTTAGAATATATAATCTAAGCAAAGACCCATTTGAGATTGCTGTTGATAATTACCCAGATATAATAGATATGAGGACCCATTTCTCACAACTCTCAAAAGTAATTTTATATGATGGGAACTGCCTCTTCAATAAACATGGCCCTCTTCTGCTCCCCATGATCCTGCTGTTCTGTCTTACACTGGAGTCACGTCTGCTGAGGTTTTGTTCCATAATCACAGAGGACTCTCGGCTCAACTTGCTGGACTATAAGCTGCTGATTTTTCCTGCGGCCTATAAAGCAATGCAGACTGTGTGTATTTTTATCGCGATTAAAAATTGAAAAAATTATGTTACAGGATTTATAGGAATTGCTGAAGTGCGAGTAGGGATGGTGTGTGCGTTAAAACACCTTTGATTTTTTTGTTTTGCTCCATCACCTGTTTGTTGTGGCTATTATTCAAGTGTGGCCTAAATGTGGACAAAATCTACTTTATTTTATTTTTTTCAAATTTGGCTTATATACAGGTTTATATGGTTTATATAGGTGCAGTTCATAGTCCAGCAAGTTCTGTACATTACATTAGTGCATTGTGAGCCCTTCAAAAGAGACATGATAGTTATACAAATATATACATAAGTGTACAATATGGATTTTTAATGTATGTAACAAGCCTTTATTTTTATACATTAGGAGAATAGCACAAAAAAGCTCAGCCATGATGGATTGTATACTTCTATGTATTCTAACTATGTGTACAAAATGTCGGATAAACTTACTGTATCATCCGTATTTATGTTAATGGTAAAATTCTTTATAGAAATATTTTCAATAAAAGTTCAAATAAAAGTGTTGTGTTTTTTTTTCCTTTAGAAAGAAATATATCAGACCCAGTTTCAAACTATTCGGTATAACTATTTTGCAAAGGGCCTTTGAATGTCAATCAATGCATTTCTTGTATAGTTCCCTTTTATGAATCCTCCTGTCCTATTGTGGAACTATACTCAATCCATGTATCCTTTCATTTTCTCCCGCTTTATCCATTGCCGGGTCATAGGAGCAGTAGTCTAAGCAGAGATATCCAGCCTCCCCACACCTCCACACACTTTCTTCAGTCTTAATATGGAGGATTTTAAAGGTAGGTAAAGGTACAAGATCTTTGCATTAGCTCTACTCATTAGTAACACACATGACAGGTCTGCATCTCTAATGTGGAGCAGACTGACATAAAGGAGGCTAAAGTTGATCTCAAGAACTGAGATAGGTCAGGAAGTTTATTATGGGTTTGTTGATAGAATGTTAAAATCCCACGCCTTAGTTGCCTCAAGACAAGCTTGCACTGGTTGTTCTGCTGTCACATGTGGCCTGATGGATGAATCCAGTATAATGCACAGACTTTGCTTCCAAGATTACACATAATATAACACTGACAAGGCCACAACAGTACTTTCTAAGAACGTTCCCATTTTCAAGTCCCTCAGCATGTTTTCCTTTTGTTTTTATCAGGCATGTTGTTTTCATTGTGTTTAAATGAGGCATGTCCAAATCACAGCCCACGGGTCAAATGCGCCCGTCCGACTTACTAACACAAAGCATTGAGACCCATGTTCACAGTATCATCCAGCCAACTTGAGCAGCACCAGTTCATTCCAGCTCAGAACCTCTAGAATCTAGTCGTTGAGTCTGTTTGTACATACTGACATTTGTTTTTGCTTGTTATGGTAAACATATCTTCAGAGATGTCAAATGTAAATCAATGGACGAGGCTTACATTGTTGTACAGCTCAGACCCAGTGATAACACAATTATACAATACAATACAATACAATTTATTCTTGTATAGCCCTAGGTCACAACAGAAGTCATCTCAGAGGACTTAACAAAACCATTGAAATCCCCAACACAGATCAGAGAATCAACAGTTAACACATGGAGAATATAAAGCACACACAGAAGAAAATGTCCATACATGTTGTAGAATGCTAAAGTGTCCTGATCATCACCAATCCTTTCTGTTGGACACTAACTGTCCAACAAGACCCTCCTGCATCAACAAGGAAAAACTCTTAAAAAACCCAGTGGGAAAAAGTGAGAAACCTTGGGGAGCACTAGGGAAACCCACAGGGAGGGAGACCCATATGAGAAAGGGATCCGCTCCTCCGGACGGACAGACTAATGTTCCAGGACCTAAGCTAGCTACAGAACGTGGACCAGTGGCCGCTGAACGTGGACAGGTCCGGTGCAGGACCGAAGCACTCCCAGGCGGGTCGGGCGGGGCAGTCCGCAGGTGTAGATGGAAGAGGCCAGGCTCAGAGATCCCGTCATCGTACCATGAAACAGACAATGGGACAACGGGTGAATAGCAATGAACAAACTACAGTCAGAATCCTAAAAGTGCTAAACAGATAAAGTAGATAAAGTAGGAAGGAGGAGAGGATAGTGCTCAAGTTACCATACTTCTCCCAGCAAACTGACTCCCTATGCAGCTTGACTGACACTCTGAGGAGTTTAACCTTCCCTGAGTCTTACCTTCCTAGCCATATGCTAAACTAAAGAGGACTGTTTTAAACCTAGCCTTGAATAAAGAGATTCATGGATTGCACACCAGGTGTGCAAACCGATCCAAGCAAACCTAATTATATATTATATATCATATACATCATATATACCATACATACCATATATATCATATATAATACACAACATAACATACAGCATAATATATAACATAATATACAACATAACACAATACATTATTGTATAATATATAACATAATATATAACATAATACAGCATTTATATATAATATATACACCATATATTATATATTACCTAATTATATGCTAAATTAAAGTAAAGTGCTTTAAGCCTGGCCTTGAATGTGGAGACCGTATCTGCTTCCTTAACATAAATGGGAAGCTGATTCCACAGTAAAGGAGCTTGGTAGCTAAATGCTCTGCCACCAACAGTGACCTTTGAGACCTTAGGGACCACCAGACGTCTGGCGTTTTGTGAGCGCAACGCTCGACTTGGTTGATACGACACTAACGTGTCTTGGAGATAAGAGGGAGCCAAGCCATTTATGGCTTTATATGTTAAGAGAAGGATTTTAAACTTTATTCTGTACTCCACAGGGAGCCAGTGGAGTGATTTTAACACCGGAGTTATGTGCTCCCTCCTTTTGGTACCTGTTAAGATCCTAGCTGCTGTATTCTGAACGAGCTGGAAGCTCTTCAAAGAGGCTTTAGGGCACGCTGCCAGTAAAGCGTTACAGTAGTCGAGCCTTGAGGTGGCAAACGCGTGAATAAGTTTTTCCGCGTCACTTTTAGGAAGGAAATTCCTAATTTTAGCGATGTTCCGTAAGTGGAAGTACGCCGTTTTAGTTGCTTGGCTTATATAAGCCTTGAAGGAGAGTTCTTGGTCAAAAATGACTCCAAGATTCCTCACAGTGTTACTGGCTATAATACTGACATTATCAGAGTAATTATCTGGTTAGTGAGGGAGTCACGCAGGCGCTTCGGACCGAGTAGGATCACTTCTGTCTTCTCCGGGTTGAGAAGTAGGAAGTTAAGAGTCATCCACATTTTAAGGTCCTTTATGCAGCACTGAGCTTTTCTAGCTGATCTGTCTGATTTGGCTTCATCGACAGATAAAGCTATGTGTCATCTGCATAGCAGATGACACACAGCCTGGGAGTGCTTCAGTCCTCCTCCTCCTCCGTCGAGCAAAGACGTGTCTCAGACGCTCCTGCTTCTGACTGCTTGCTATCTCCTGTTTTTGTCTTTTTCCTGGAGTTTTGCCACAGACAACTTTTAGCAAGAATGGAAATGGTAAATTGGTCCCTCAACGCAATTGATTCTATCTTTTCAACACGTAAGCGCGGGTCTGGAGAGCCCGAGTGCCCGGACGGGACTTCACCAGCGGGTTATACGCTTGACAGCTGGTACAAGTGGCAGCCCCTCTGTCTGTCGACCCTGTCCATTGAAGATTCGGAAGAGAGCGCTGTGGCTGGACAACGAAGAGTGGTGTTAGTGGAACAGTTGATCAGAGATCTCGCAGCTCGTTCACTTGATGGGCATAAAACTCTGGAATTGAGATTGAATGACATTGTTTGTCAGGCTTGAACTCTCTGACCCGGCTTGGATTGGCCCCTGTGTACGGGGTCTGAGGGCGCCGCAATTCGGTTTAATTGGATTTAATAGAATATCTGCCTGTTTTTGACTGCTAAAATGCATAATATATTGTCCCTCGTTACAGGAAGATGTGTTTTTCTCCTTGCTGTGTCTTCCCTCCACTCTTATCTCACATTCCTCGGGCCAAGGCCATCATAATAAATCTGGACTCTACAACAATTTCACACTCTTTCAGTCAGTTCCAGCTTGGATCCCGCTCCCCCCGCCTCCCTATGATCTCTCCCTCCCCTCCCCTCCTCATTGTGTTTCCGACTCACCCCCACCCTGACCCCGCCCCCCTCTGACAGCCACATTGGGCCGGCTGCAGAAGGGCTCATCCCGAAAAAAAATCCATGGTTTATACAAAGCACAATGTTTTCTATCCAACTGTCTGTTGTAACCTGTATGTTATTGCTCTCTGCTGTTTATTCTACTGTTTGTCGCATGGCGCCGGAAAAGATGGCGCCGTGGCAAGAGCTCTGGTGTGTGTCGTCTCTGTCTGGCGCACACGGGGGTAGTCTTGCACAGTTTTTCCAATGTGGTTTTACTGCAAATGGCAAATAAATGAATCTGAATCTGATCTGATTAATTCCATGCTTTTTAATAATGTTTCCTAATGGCAGCATGTAGAGAGTAAAAAGAATCGGTCCGAGTACCGAACCCTGCGGCACACCGAATTCTACTCCAGAATAAGGTGACGAGTTCTGATTTACGTTGACAAAGTGATACCGATCTGATAAATAGGATTTAAACCAGCCAAGGGCTGTTCCTCTAAGACATTCTAGCCTCTGCAGTAGAATGCTGTGGTCTATTGTGTCAAATGCAGCACTAAGGTCCAGTAGGACCAGCACTGACACTTGTCCATTATCAGCAGCTAGTAGTAAGTCATTTGTGACTTTGACTAGTGCCGTTTCAGTGCTATGATGAGCTCTGAATCCTGATTCAGATATTATTTTCCTGCAGGTGGCAGCGAAGCTGCTCAGCTATAAGTTTTTCCAGGATTTTAGATATAAAAGTGAGGTTTGAGATCGGTCTGTAGTTTGTAAGTATTTCTGGGTCCAGGTTTGTTTTCTTCAGAAGGGGTTTGATTACCGCGGTTTTAAAAGCTTGTGGGACGATAGGCTCAATTATCAAAGGAAGTATGTCTTTGAAGAGCCATGTCGGGACTGCGTCTAACATGCAAGTTGAGGCTTTTGAGGATGTGACCACAGAGATCACCTCTGCTTGGCTCACAGCCATGAATTTATCGAGGCCCACTGAAGAATCTAAGTGGGAAGTCACGTATGCCGCTTCAGCCTGTCCACTACCAACAGCCGGAGTAACCTCCTCCAGTTTTTTCACGGATGGATGTAATTTTATTATTAAAGAAGTGGAGAAAGTCGACACTGCTCAGTGAGCTTGGAATTTTAGGCTCGATTGCGCTATGGCAGTTTGTGAGTTTAGCGACGGTGCTAAACAAAAATCTACTGTTTTTTTTATTCGCTTCTATTAAAGTTGAATAGTATTGAGTTCGAGCCCTGCGAAGGGCATTCTTATAGTTTCGGAGACCTGCTTTCCACTCCCTGTGGACAGGCTCCGAGTGGGAGTGGCGATATAGCCTCTCCAATTTTCTGACGTCCTGTTTTAAAGTGTGGAGTTGAACACTGCACCAGGGCGACGATGATCTAAACCTAATAGTTTTCTGTTTTAAAGGAGCTGCTGCATTTAATGCAGATTTTAAAGACTCCATAGTGTTGCCCACCGTTTGGTCAATGACTGAGGGACTGCAGCTGCTGTGAACAGGTTCACCTGCAGCAGTATTCAACATAGGCTGTATTAGTTCTTTGAACCTTGTGATAGATTTATCATTTAAGGTTCTTTTCATTATGGTTTTATCTTGCGGGACAGGAAAGTCCTCCAAATCGAGATCAAACGTGATCAAGAAATGGTCAGACAGCAACGAGCTTTGACGCTGGATGTCAACATTGGAGACATCACAGCCGTAGGTCAGGACAGTGGATTACATCTGTGTTGTCGGCCCCTGGACAATTTTAGCATGGTAAAGGGGCCCATTTACAAAAAGGTTTTGACACCCTGATTTCCGTCAGTGCACCAGTATGATTTAGTACTTAGAATTGTTTTTTTAATCTTCTCATATTGAATAATTGTGAAAGCTAAACCTTATCAGACTATTTCTATGTTTTTTTTCCCAATATTGCGAGAGATGTCATTGTGAATATTAGGCATTTACACATGGCATCCACTAGATGGCGACAAAGTGCGGGCCTTTAAGGGTAATTTTAGGGAACAGCATTTCCTTTTACTACAAAGAAAATCTCATAGACACAAATTGGGATATGATGTTTATTAGAATTTGCAATTAGCGATGTAACATTCACCTACATGGCACAAAAGGAAGTAATAAATATAATTATAATGCTAATAATTCACGCCATAATTCAAAAGAGCTCGTCTCCTTTGGGAATGATGTCACATAGCTTATAGTGGAGCAAACTGCAGCTTTCAAGAACAGAATGAACATAGAAAATAACAAATTCCATTTACAATACAGTGTTACAAAAGAAAGTATACAAAAGTGAATATTCAAATAAACATTATATTAAAATGCACATATTGATTGCACATGGTAGTTCTCGTTCACGTGGAGCTACAGTACTAGATTTTAGTGCATGGCTTTAGTATTCTAATGACCTGTAATTATCAGCTGGAAAAGAAAAGAAAGAATCATGGCACTCAGCATTGGGAATATTTATAGTTTGTTTGACTGAGAGCTTACACAAACTCAAGTTTGTAAGTACGTTTTTAATACATTTTCCCTCAAATGGACCAAAATATTTCATCCGCAATAGAAACTCACCAATAATACAGCAACCAATGAGAATGTGTTTTGTTTTTCCAATCAACTGTTATGTCAATTTTGAAGAAGTAAAATGTGAGGCCTGGTTTATTTGTGGTCAATTTTTCAAGCTTGAAAACAAAAAATAAATAACTAAAGTTTAATATTTTCACATATATTATAAAACAAATTAAATAAAACATTTAATTTGTCTACATTAAAAATTTATTGAAGTGTAATGTTCATATCACGTGTATTATTTAGATTTTTATAACTTTACTTGCATAACCAGAAATCCCTGCCCACTGCTGAGTTCCATTGGAAGTGTACGCATGACCTAGTAGTGCTGTTGCCTCGGAAACATGTCAAACGATACCGTAAAACTACAAATTATTCAAACACACAAGAGCAATGTTAATCCCTGTACTAAGTGTGTGCGATGATTGTTATGTCATGCTCTGTTAGTGAGTCCAGGACAAGGGGGTCCACTCTCCCCTCTTGTGTTTGCCAATGGAGGTGTCGGCCATGTTGGTGCTGGCCTGACTGAGATGAAGTGTACAGGAGGTGTCGGCCATGTTGGTGCTGGCCTGACTGAGGTGAAGTGTACTGGAGGTGTCGGCCATGTTGGTGCTGGCCTGACTGAGATGAAGTGTACTGGAGGTGTCGGCCATGGCGGCACTGGCCTGACTGAGATAACATGTACTGGAGGTGTCGGCCATATTGGTGCTGGCCTGACTGAGATGACGTGTACTGGAGGTGACCGTGTTGGTGCTGGTCTGAGTTGACACAGTTGTCCATGGAAGTACATATTCTTTAGTCTTTGGCTGCATCCAAATTTGTAAAACACATCCTCCTTCCTAATCCCTCCTTGTCCTTCCTTCTCATCTTCATTGACCTTTGTGGCATTCGATTAATACATTCTTCTTTAAAACCTGGAGCTACCCGGTCTTATAAAAGGTCATACTGTCAGGACAAGGATGGCTAAGGATAAGGAAGCCATGTGTATTTTGTTTTGGTTTTTTCTCTTTAGATATGTCGCAAGTGCATTCTTGTCCTGTATAATTTTGGAACCTCTATACTTTTTCAAAGGTCTAGTTTAGAGGGCCTGTACCTGATTTTTATTGTCATAAAAATATCAAAAACAGAAAACATTCACCTTGTTTGAGTTTATGTGCGTATTTCACCATTTTAAAAAAGGAACCAGTGCCAGATTTTGCCACAGTAGCGTTGCATGTTGTTTCTTGGACAAAAAAATGCAGTGTAATCAGATTTTAATCATGCAATATTTTGTCCCAGTGCAGATACGTAGAAGAACCAACTCTTGATGCTGTAAAGACATTTTTTCATATATTTATAAATACCATTATTGTCAGAGAACCCAGAAATCCAATAGTTGTTTCCTCACTGCGATCTTAAAGTTGTGATGAAAAACTCAATGTGGTGAATAATTAGAACATAAGAATCCATACAAGAGTGAGAAATTTAGACACCAATTACTGAGTTCCAAGGACAAATGGCTGAAGTGAAGAGGAGGTTCCTGTCGGTGGGGGCCTCACTGAGCCGAGATGCAGAGGACGGGGTGGTGTCGGTGGGAGGGAGGCCTGAGTCTGAGTGTGCCGTATACCAGAGGAGGGGTTTGAGCTCAGCGAAAAGGCAGTAGTGTGGAGGCGATTATGTGGGCGGGTGGTGAGGGTCCATGGTCGTGTGGAGATGGGAGATGCTCATGCAGTTTGGGCCAGAGACCAGCAGGGGGGGCAGTCTCCGGCCGGGCAGTGCTTTAGGTCGGACACAATACTAGAGGGAGAACAAAAAATAATGACGTAGATTAGCTGTTAAAGTAAAGAAGTAGAACAAGCATCAAATAATCCAAATGCTAAAGCTAAGGTCTCTTACTTTTCTTCCCATAATGACTACATTGTATTGCCTATGTGTAAGAATGAGCCCTGTGAGTCACTATTTGACACTCTGAGTTGAGAGTTGATTCGCTGAGTGAGGGTGTCCTCTCTTTTTCACTTTGCTCTCTGAAAAAACTGGTCTAAAGATGTGACGGAGGCCAAAACTACATGCATGTGAAAACTAGTGATAGAACCAAAGTGTTCTAGAGCCAAAATCTAGCTACATGGATTTAATTTCATAGTCTTTAAAGTAGGTAACCCAGCTTTAAGGCAAATATACTGTAGTTGGAATATATGAATGATAATAAATAGAGCCTACTATGCCACGCATTTAACAGATACTGCTACTAATAGTATTCCAAATATGATTCCGTGCTAATAATGAATCTATTTTTTTTGTTTCATTCTTGTTAGTTCCATATTGTAGTATTGTGTTTGTTTAATAACTATAAATAATAACCTAAACACTACTTTCTTACTGGGTCTTATTTAGGTCCCTCTGTTTTCGTGGGGGTTATGTTCCAAAAGGAGCTATCTTTTAAGTAAAAGTAAAAGTTTTTAAAAGTTCTCAACATAGAACAAGTGTAAGTGTTTTGGGGTTTATTCATAATTGACATTAGAAGATTGTGCTATGCTTTTGGATGAGATATAGGATTTTACAACTAAAGGATTTTATCTCTTTGAAAAGATTTTTTTTTTTTTATTTTAACCCCTTGTGTGATTTTCATGTTTTAATGTTTTTAACGGCCTGTGTGATATTAATTGCGTTTTTGATTTTGGGGTTTGTTCAATGTGATGAATTGTGCCTTGTGTGATGTGGACTGTGAACCGTTTTGTGTTATCCTGCGTAGGAAAAACGCTCTATGAATAAACATTGTTGATTGATAAAATATACTTTATATAAAAACTAGAGTAATAACCCAAATGAAAAACATAGAGCCTCACCTTTTGTGACTAATGAGCTTGTTTTGCTTATTACTTTAGTCTTGGGCTTGAAGCTCAAAAGTGCACTCTATCTATTGTCCTTTTCTTTACCTTTCAATATGTAGTCAGTTAGTAGAGTAGGCACCTTGTCGCTGTCCTCTTTGATGGCAAACAGGACTGAGAACGCAAGAGAAAAACAACATAATCACATCTAAATCAATGTTTTTATCGCTGCCTGTCATTTCATTCTCTCCTCACGTTTGGTCAGCATCTGAAGGTCGTCGACAGAGGGCGGAGCGCCGGTTTTCTCATATGGAATTACTGTGTTGATATACTGAAAAACAAACAAGCAAAAAGTCACGTGTTGAATCCTGAAAGTTTGACTCCACACTGTTTTCTCCGACACAAAGGAACAGTGCGTCTCGTCAGCGTATTCCGTTACACGCACAGGCGCAATACTGCAATACTACCTACAATACTGCAATACTAGTACCTACAATACTGAAATACTACCTACAATACTGCAATACTGCCAGAGTGCTGCATGGACTCGTTCTGGTCTTGTTGGAGCATTAAAGGAGACATAACATTGAAAATCGACTTTTCAAATAGTCATCAATTCCATGTATTTTTGTATAACCCTAAATCACAACAGTATTTTTTTATGTTTTCTATTTGTTTATTCAAAATAGGGGCCATGCACATTAATTAACATTCTGTAAATGTGTGAGTATCTCGGAGGACTTTACAAAACTGTTGAATTCGCCAAAACAGATCAGAGAATCAAACAGTTCATACAAATACAGCTCATGACCGATTTAAGTAGTTAAGTGATATTGATTTCTGGATTTGTTATAGACAAACGGTTTGGCAGCGTTGAGCAGTCATTTTAGCTTGAAGGAAAAAAATATCCACTGATCTCTAACTTGACGTACTGTTGATTTGTGCATTATGTTGTGTGCATGAGAGAGGTTGGAGCCAAGTTAATGTTCTTCTTTCTCTTCCAGCCCCTTTTCAAAATATTGAATATCTTGTCCATGTTTAATTTTGACTATATACACAACTCTGAAATAGATAATAAATGACTTGAAGTTTTCTCTGAGGGGCAGAGCACAGAGCGGTACAGAGGGACTGAGTATGAAAAGTGTGTAGACTTTTTTTGTCTCTTTTATGACAGTTTTAGACGTGAGCTGATGATTTCTATTCTTTCACATTTGTAGTTTTTGTGTGTAAAAAACTCACCTGTTTGTCGCTCCCTGTGCTTCCGAAGGTTTGTCTGATGCCCGTCTGCAGGATGTTGGACAGTCCCTCCATGCTGAACCTCTGGAAGCAACAACACACAAGTGGTTCATTTAGTAGGGCTGTAAACCCAACAAAGATTGTCTTGTCAACCGATCGGCTGATCGGTTGACAAGACAATGACAATAACAAAAGAGCTTTTGTTATACCCCTCAAAACTTTTGCGAACATTACAACTATCCAAGCATGAAAAAACTAGAAAGTTGAGCAGCTACACTCATCTCAGTTGTGAGTCAAATCTTAAATGAATAATACAGTACATTTTCATATAATTTTTTCCCATAGGGTCAACTTTTCTTTCTTTCCTATAAACGTTTGTATTCTAAATACAATTATTGATTAATTTAATTATCAAAAAAGCAGCTCAATCATTTAAACAATAGGAATTTAAACTCATATGAAAGAACACAACATATAAATACAGATGGTAGACAGTATAATCTAGTAATGGTGCAAATATTGAAACCAAAACATGATTCAGAGTCTTAACATGCAAAGTGACAAATGCCAAGCCTTTGTTATAATTATGGCTTACAATACATTTCCAAAATATTCAAATTTTCTGATACTAAAAATATCAGTTTTTAGTTTCACATTGTAAGTTGAATGACAGTAATAAATAACAGAAATAAAATCCTTTGAACACAGGTCCTATGTCGTTCCTTTGTTATTATTACATTTCCTGTGTCAGCAGTCGGTAAATCAACTTTATAAACTCCAAGACGACGGCTGTTGTAATTTAGGGCTGTACACAAAAATTGAATTGAAAATTGATTTGAACAATATCATTATTTTCCAAGTCACCTGTATTCTTAAGGTTACTTCCTTCAATACATCAAACGTTATACATAAGCTTGTACTTATGTGTATGTTATTTTTTTGATTGCAGTGGCCTGGGCTTTTGAAGTCGGCTCCTAATTGAGTTTCTCTCATTAGCGTGTTTATAGAGTGTGAGTTTGTAGCCTGGACATTATGGACATTCCTCTGGGCTGTGTCTGATTGGTCAACGCTCTTTGGCTCTTCCTGGAATAAACACACAGCAGTGCACGGCCTAATGGAGCACATCCATTATGTTAAGAGTGTGCGATGGACAGGGCACTCTCAGACACACACCAGCACTTACTATTCCAACAGGATAATCGGCACATTCAGGTAACGTTACAAACATGCCAGAAACATAATGTCAATGTAACTAGAACAACACTGCATTTGCAAATTGAAGAAATATTACATATTCTCTACAGCCGTTCAAAATGATGTTGAGGCTTTTTACTTTTTCATGTTTCAGAATGTGTAATTATATCTTATTAGGTGTGGTATATGGTCAAGCAAGTACAGAAGGTACAAAAACTGTCTGTAACTCTCTGTGCCACCACCAGAGGGAAGAGTTGAATGAGTTTTTGTCCAAATTCAAAAATTTCCGACACTTAAAACCCTTTCACTGTTAATTTCTTAATGTCAATGTCAGTTACTTTTCAAATTGTGAGTGGAGTGTGAACATTTGAAGCTTAGCACTGGTTAGACCCGCCCATGCTCACCCGGCAGCTTTCTGATTGGTTAAAATAATATAAATCCTAGAGTCCCCTCATTATTGGTTTGAATATTCTCCTGTTCGTGGTACAGTGTCCCATGGTTCAATTCAATTACATTTATTTTTGTACAGCCCTAAATCACAACAGAAGTCATCTCAGAGAATCGAACAGGAGGCAATCATAACAAACAAAGGGTCCAGACTTTGGGATGATCAATGTCCATAAATGTTTATAACTGTCCTTAAATGTTCCAGATTATCACTAGACCCTCCTGCATCTGCAAGGAACGACTCATGGTCATAAATATAGTGTGTTCGGACTGAAATGCGAAAAGCGTTAAAAAAGTGCCTTTTGACTTTGGGTCTGTTTTTGAGCCACTCTTGTACTAACCTGACAGATTATCGGGTTAAGTTAATGTGAAATAAAACAACATATTTTATAAATTGAATACACTGCAAAAAATGATAAAATATGAGGTAATTGCTTGAATCAAGTGCTGTTTATCATAACTTGAGTACATTTTGACAACAAACAAGAACTGTTGCTTTATTATGTCATTTCAAGGGACACATTTCTTGTATCTATTTAAAACAAGATAATTTTGCTTGTCCCATTCGCAAAGCTTGTTTTAAGGCAGTCAGAATGTGCTCTCATCAAGATACATTTGGCCAAGTTTTTTGCAATTTTGACTTACTTTTCATCTCTTTTTACAGTGCATGAATTAAGTTTCTGACAACACTTTAAAGAGATAGTAAGGTGTGAACAAGCCGCTCAGTGCATGTGTGTGACGATCGGCCGAGGGTGCAGGTGGGGGAAGCCTTCACCTTGACGGGCATGGTCCCGGTCTTCTCCACTCTCCCGCCGGGCGCCGTGGTGACCGGTGTGTTGTCGGTGGAGCTCCCGTGCATGCTCAGGGCCTTGTCTCGGCGTCTGCGCTTGCTGCTGTCCCTCTGCTCCTTCTGTCGGTTCTGCACCTCCATCAGGACCGTGATAAACGTGTTCTTCACCTCCTTCTCGAACTCCTGCTCCTCGCGCCGGGCCAGCTGCCTCACCAGCTCCTCGGAGTAGTCCCGGATCGCCGTCTCGATGCGCTCCAGCAGCTCCCTCAGAGTGGAGTTGGGCATCAAGCTCAGGCCTGCAGCGGAGAGCAAAGTCAAACACACATCACACAATGTATGCATCATTCTTTTCATTTTGGTCCTTAAATATGATCTGTAGAATTTTAGAAAGTCTTCCATCTAGAGGTAGAAGTGAGAAATTACTCAAATCAATGGTGCTTAGGAAGAATTTACTTGAAATTTTGCCACTGAATTTTTTTTAGTGTTATGTCGTTCCTCTCCTGTCTTTCTCCTAGTGTTGTTCTGGTCCTCTTCTGTCTTTCTCCTAGTGTTGTTCTGGTCCTCTCCTGCCTTTCTCCTAGTGTTGTGCCGGTCCTCTCCTGTCTTTTCTAGTGTTGTGCCGGTCCTCTCCTGTCTTTCTCCTAGTTTTGTCTCGGTCCTCTTCTGTCTTTCCCCCAGTGTCGTTCTGGTCCTCTCCTGTCTTTCCCCCAGTGTTGCTCCAGGCCTCTCCTGTCGTTCTCCTCCTGTTGTGCCGGTCCACTCCTGTCTTTCTTCTAGTGTTATGCTGGTCCTCTCCTGTCTTTCTCCTAGTGTTGTGCTGGTCCTCTCCTGTCTTTCTCCTAGTGTTGTTCTGGTCCTCTCCTGTCTTTCCTAGTGTTGTTCTGGTCCTCTCCTGTCTTTCTCATAGTGTTGTGCCGGGCCTCTCCTGTCTTTCTCCTAGTGTTATCCTGGTCCTCTCCTGTCTTTCTCCAAGTGTTGTTCCGGTCCTCTCCTGACTTTCTCCTAGTGTTATGCTGGTCCTCTTCTGTCTTTCTCCTAGTGTTGTTCCGGTCCTCTCCTGACTTTCTCCTAGTGTTATGCTCGTCCTCTCCTGTCTTTCTCCTAGTGTTGTTCTGGTCCTCTCCTGTCTTTCTCCTAGTGTTGTTCTGGTCCTCTCCTGTCTTTCTCCTAATGTCGTTCCGGTCCTCTCCTGTCTTTCTCCAAGTGTTGCTCTGGTCCTCTCCTGTCTTTCTCCGAGTGTTGTTCTGGTCCTCTCCTGTCTTTCTCCGAGTGTTGTTCTGGTCCTCTCCTGTCTTTCTCCGAGTGTTGTTCTGGTCCTCTCCTGTCTTTCTCCTAGTGTTGTGTTGGTCCTCTCCTGTCTTTCTCCTCGTGTTATGCTGGTCCTCTCCTGTCTTTCTCCAAGTGTTGCTCTGGTCCTCTCCTGTCTTTCTCCGAGTGTTGTTCTGGTCCTCTCCTGTCTTTCTCCTAGTGTTGTGTTGGTCCTCTCCTGTCTTTCTCCTCGTGTTATGCTGGTCCTCTCCTATCTTTCTCCAAGTGTTGCTCTGGTCCTCTCCTGTCTTTCTCCTAATGTTGTTCCGGTCCTCTCCTGTCTTTCTCCAAGTGTTGTTCCGGTCCTCTCCTGACTTTCTCCTAGTGTTATGCTCGTCCTCTCCTGTCTTTCTCCTAGTGTTGTTCTGGTCCTCTCCTGACTTTCTCCTAGTGTTATGCTCGTCCTCTCCTGTCTTTCTCCTAGTGTTGTTCTGGTCCTCTCCTGTCTTTCTCCTAGTGTTGTTCCGGTCCTCTCCTGTCTTTCTCCAAGTGTTGCTCTGGTCCTCTCCTGTCTTTCTCCGAGTGTTGTTCTGGTCCTCTCCTGTCTTTCTCCTAGTGTTGTGTTGGTCCTCTCCTGTCTTTCTCCTCGTGTTATGCTGGTCCTCTCCTGTCTTTCTCCTCGTGTTATGCTCGTCCTCTCCTGTCTTTCTCCAAGTGTTGCTCTGGTCCTCTCCTGTCTTTCTCCAAGTGTTGCTCTGGTCCTCTCCTGTCTTTCTCCGAGTGTTGTTCTGGTCCTCTCCTGTCTTTCTCCTCGTGTTATGCTGGTCCTCTCCTGTCTTTCTCCTCGTGTAATGCTGGTCCTCTCCTGTCTTTCTCCTAATGTTGTTCCGGTCCTCTCCTGTCTTTCTCCTACTGTTGTTCTGGTCCTCTCCTGTCTTTCTCCAAGTGTTGTGTTGGTCCTCTCCTGTCTTTCTCCAAGTGTTATGCTGGTCCTCTCCTGTCTTTCTCCAAGTGTTGTGTTGGTCCTCTCCTGTCTTTCTCCTAGTGTTGTTCTGGTCCTCTCCTGTCTTTCTCCTAGTGTTGTTCTGGTCCTCTCCTGTCTTTCTCCAAGTGTTGTTCTGGTCCTCTCCTGTCTTTCTCCAAGTGTTGTTCTGGTCCTCTCCTGTCTTTCTCCTAGTGTTGTTCTGGTCCTCTCCTGTCTTTCCCCCAGTGTTGCTCCAGGCCTCTCCTGTCGTTCTCCTCCTGTTGTGCCGGTCCACTCCTGTCTTTCTTCTAGTGTTATGCTGGTCCTCTCCTGTCTTTCTCCTAGTGTTGTGCTGGTCCTCTCCTGTCTTTCTCCTAGTGTTGTGCTGGTCCTCTCCTGTCTTTCTCCTAGTGTTGTTCTGGTCCTCTCCTGTCTTTCTCCTAGTGTTGTCCCGGTCCTCTTCTGTTTTTCCCCAAGTGTTGTTCTGGTCCTCTCCTGTCTTTCCCCCAGTGTTGTTCTGGTCCTCTCCTGTCTTTCTTCTAGTGTTGTCCCGGTCCTCTTCTGTCTTTCCCCCAGTGTTGTTCTGGTCCTCTCCTGTCTTTCTCCTAGTGTTGTGTTGGTCCTCTCCTATCTTTCTTCTAGTGTAATGCTGGTCCTCCCCTGTCTTTCTCCTCGTGTTGTGCCGGTCCTCTCCTATCTTTCTTCTAGTGTAATGCTGGTCCTCCCCTGTCTTTCTCCTAGTGTTGTTCCGGTCCTCTCCTGACTTTCTCTGAGTGTTATGCTGGTCCTCTCCTGTCTTTCTCCTTGTGTTATGCTGGTCCTCTCCTGTCTTTCTCCAAGTGTTGTTCTGGTCCTCTCCTGTCTTTCTCCTCGTGTAATGCTGGTCCTCTCCTGTCTTTCTCCTAATGTTGTTCTGGTCCTCTCCTGTCTTTCTCCAAGTGTTGTGTTGGTCCTCTCCTGTCTTTCTCCAAGTGTTGTGTTGGTCCTCTCCTGTCTTTCTCCTAGTGTTGTTCTGGTCCTCTCCTGTCTTTCTCCTAGTGTTGTTCTGGTCCTCTCCTGTCTTTCTCCAAGTGTTGTTCTGGTCCTCTCCTGTCTTTCTCCAAGTGTTGTTCTGGTCCTCTCCTGTCTTTCTCCTAGTGTTGTTCTGGTCCTCTCCTGTCTTTCTCCTACTGTTGTTCTGGTCCTCTCCTGTCTTTCTCCTAGTGTTGTTCTGGTCCTCTCCTGTCTTTCTCCTAGTGTTGTTCTGGTCCTCTCCTGTCTTTCTCCAAGTGTTGTTCTGGTCCTCTCCTGTCTTTCTCCAAGTGTTGTTCTGGTCCTCTCCTGTCTTTCTCCTAGTGTTGTGTTGGTCCTCTCCTGTCTTTCTTCTAGTGTAGTTCCAGTCCTCTCCTGTCTTTCTCCTAGTGTTGTCCCGGTCCTCTTCTGTTTTTCCCCAAGTGTTGTTCTGGTCCTCTCCTGTCTTTCCCCCAGTGTTGTTCTGGTCCTCTCCTGTCTTTCTTCTAGTGTTGTCCCGGTCCTCTTCTGTCTTTCCCCCAGTGTTGTTCTGGTCCTCTCCTGTCTTTCTCCTAGTGTTGTGTTGGTCCTCTCCTGTCTTTCTCCTCGTGTTGTGCCGGTCCTCTCCTATCTTTCTTCTAGTGTAATGCTGGTCCTCCCCTGTCTTTCTCCTAGTGTTGTTCCGGTCCTCTCCTGACTTTCTCTGAGTGTTATGCTGGTCCTCTCCTGTCTTTCTCCTTGTGTTATGCTGGTCCTCTCCTGTCTTTCTCCAAGTGTTGTTCTGGTCCTCTCCTGTCTTTCTCCTAGTGTTGTACTGGTCCTCTCCTGTCTTTCTCCTAGTGTTGTTCTGGTCCTCTCCTGTCTTTCTCCTAGTGTTGTTCTGGTCCTCTCCTGTCTTTCTCCTAGTGTTGTTCTGGTCCTCTCCTGTCTTTCTCCTAGTGTTGTTCTGGTCCTCTCCTGTCTTTCTCCTAGTGTTGTTCCGGTCCTCTCCTGACTTTCTCCTAGTGTTGTTCCGGTCCTCTCCTGTCTTTCTCCTAATGTCGTTCCGGTCCTCTTCTGGTTTTCTTCTAGTGTTGTTCTGGTCCTCTCCTGTCTTTCTCCTAGTGTTGTGGCGGTCCTCTACTATCTTTCACATCTCAGTCTACTATATTTTCACACCACAACTGTTTTTAGCGTTTTCTGCTCTTCCATTTTCACCGAAATCACAAAGAACCGACGGTGGCCCCTAAGCGGCTTCAGAAACAGACGCTGTGCTCTACCAAAGCAAAAGAGGACGTGTGATTGAGGTAGTGATGTACACCAAAGCCTGGCTCTAGACCGAACTTTAGCCCTGCCTACATGACATTCCAGCGAGGCAGGGCTAAAGTTTGGTCTTTGGTTTGTCCAGGATACGTATATAACACACATAACACCCTTAGATTAGGTTTGATTGGATTGATCAAGCCGAGCCGTCAGAACCGAGCAGAGGAAAATGAGAGATGGATTATGACAGTATTACAGTAATGCTGACAGAACCGCTCTGAACACTTTTGACCCCGCCAGGTCAAAACAGCAAATAAATGTGATGAAAGAGGCTGATGAAGTTTAAAACTCAACTGTTGAAATATACAGCTATCCCATACAAGCACCATCTCATTTAAATGCGATTATTTTTTTTAATACTGTATGCTTAAAAAGTCTCAGAGTTTTATTTGAAAAGCTAGCTCATAACACAACCATGATTAACCACTGGAATTACAAGATTCACTGCAATAAAGCTTTTTATTTTTTCAGAGAACTTAGACCTGAGTTGTGCAACACATTTTCTAAGTTTTGGAAATTATAAATTATGGAAAAGATGACATTACGAAAGATGAAGATCACATTTTCTTTCTAAATCCAATCCTTTTGTTGTTGCTTATGTTCAGTCCCTTTGTTTGTCATTTTTAGTTGATTTTGATTCCATTACGATTAATTGAGCACCCTACTACATTGAAACTGTGATTGTGTCCTGGCATCCATGTGGAGTCACTATAACTGACTGAGTTTAATCAGTGGCAGACAACAACTCTATAAAAGGGGCTACTTGTTGGTTGACCTTTGGATTTATAGCAGCAACGGCGATACAAGAATGCCCTTTGAAGCCTTGGCACGGCCTCTGCTGCGTGATCCATCGCCTGCCCTGTCTCGCTCTGAACTGACTGGAAGTATATCGGACATGCTGAGACGGCCGTTTATGCTCTCCGCTTGTCCTTGAGCTCCACATGCTGATATCCATTGGAAAAGATAACTGGCCTCTATCGGGGCTTCTATAAATAGGGACCATAATGCCAAGGTCCCTTTAAGGATGGCCCCAACCTTTGGTAGAGCTGATGTCCAGTGACGTGCCTCAAGGCTGGCCATTTGTCCTCCACACCTCACACATGCAGAACATTATACACAAATAACCAGGATTAAGGGTATGGGTTAATAGGAGGTGTAGTTTCATAGAATAATTTGGTGTAGGTCTGAATATGAATGGCAGCAATGGTGAAATAATGTATTGCTTTATATAAGAAATTGTGGGTAACATGTAAAAGGCATATTGTTGTTGGTCATGCGTCTTTGAGTGTACAGAAATGTGTTCTATAAAAACCTATACATTATTATTCACCACAAGAAGTTGATTAAAGTTTCTCAATGAAAATGAAAAATTCCCGCATAGTAACCTCGTAGCAAACAAAGAAGCAATCAAGAGCGAGGCAATTTCCAGCTTGTGCTATTCTCAGCCAAAGTCCAATTTGTAGATAGAAATTACTTTTTAATTTTATTTTTGGTTAAATCTTAATTTAAAAAAACACCAAGAACATTAAGGGCGACAGTAGCTCAGTTGTTAGAGTATTGGCCTTCAGGCCTGAAGGTAGTGCAATTCCCACCTCTACACCTTCTCCACCGACCCCCACTGATGTCTGCTGTCGTTGTGTCCTTGGGCAAGACACTTAACCCCACTTTGCCCAAAGCCCCACTGAAAGATCAAGGCTATGCTCAGAAAGCAGCCATCCTCCTGTGGACTCACCACCTGCAGAGGGTCAGTGAGGGGCTGGTGCTATGAGACTTGGGTGGCATCTCTGATTGCCACCCCCCTGAGAAATGGATTAAAGGGTAGAAAATGGATGGATGGATGGACCAAGAACATTAAAAGCCGGCGAAGTGAGGCCTTTCAGCTAACCGGATCCAGACCACAGGCCAACTTCCAATACTGGTTTTGTCCTTGGCTAGTTTCAATGTTATTAAAGACATGTTTCTATGTTTTACAAAAATACTTCAGATGCTTTCAAAAAATTGTTATCAAAGCAAAAAAATCACTGCAGGTTAAAAGAGTGTCGAGCCCTGGCATAGAGCTTTAAAACCCCAACATTTGAAGCAGAGAATAGTGAGAGAATGGTGAACAGTTCTGCCTCATTATACAGTCTGACTGTGTCACATGGCTCACCCTCGTAGGAGCAGTTGTTGTTGGAGGCGTGGGAAAGCTGACGGATCTCCTCCAGCAGAGACGGGTTGGTCCTGGAGGAGGAATCTTCATCCTCCTCCTCCTCCGTCTCTCCGGGGTCTGGGGAGTTCTCCATCATCTCTTCTATCTCCTCTATGATCTGCAGAAAAAGTATGTTCTCGTATTAATCAGTTGGACCGTTTAAAGAGCAAATATGATACATTCTTTGTGATGATTTGGCTCGTAAACTTGTAGAACACATGAATCACTTTTGCCAATTTCTGAATAGTAATGAGACCATGATGGAGACAGTCAGGCTGCAGTATCTAGTATCCATACCTCCATCAGAATGCATTAGAGTACATACTGCAGCCAGGCCACTCAAAGTCTTTCCTGCGAGCATCTCACTCACATACATTATTTAATATTGATGGATACAGATGTATGAGGGAGGGCTGTGGACTCCAATGTATAGAATGAAACAGGAGATCATTTTCACCTGAATGTATGGACATTAAAGTGTTTCCAAACTAATACACTTACAGTACTTGCTGGACTATTAAACGCATCTGTATACAAACCGCATGATCTAAATTTGAAAAGAAAGTCGATTTAGTCCACATTTAGGCTGCACTTGAGTATAAGCAGCAGGTTTTCATGTTTTAATGTAACCAACAGAGCAAAACAATGCACTGATGACTAGTGATGATCAAAGCACTCTGGAGAATCTATTTGACAAAAAATTGGTAGAAAAACTTAATTGGAGTCAAAATCCAGATCCATTAACTCTGACAACAGCCCAAATCACATAAAACCTCTGTGTTCCCCTGCATTTCCTCATGCCTCTCTTTCCTGTTCGCATAAACACATGAGGAAGCAGGAATATATGCTCCATCGACAGCTCTGGAGATCAACAGCTCAACAGAGGTGTCCCAGTCCCTTCTTGTTCCCCAGGGGGCATTCTAACAACATACTGTAGAAATACAAACATTGGCCGCATTGATAGGCAGCAGAGTTTTTTGCTAATGCCGAGGGTTTAAGGACTGTGGAAATGATCCAGGACACTCCAACATTCTACTCCCCGTATGGACCAATACCTGTGTTCTCTATTCTTTGTGTTTGAACTGTTTGATTCTCTGATCTGTGTTGGCAAATTCAAGGTTGTTTAAAGTCGCTCCAAGATAACTACTGCTGTGATTGAGGCGTGATTTCAGCTTACAGTCCTGCAACTACTGAATGTTAAAGGGCACATTGTTTCTGACTTGTATTTAGGGTGGAGCCGCTCACCTGATCGGCCGACATCAGAGGCTCCTCACTCAGGCAGTTGGCGTTGTCATTCTTCTCATTCATCTCCTCCTCCTCCTTTTCATGGATCTAAAGACAGAGAAAATGCGTTGAGTGAGAAACTGACACTTCATATCCATCATATTTTCACATATACAATCAGCTATGGGGCTATTACTCCATTTCAGTGTATACTTTTTTGGAGACAGCAGTTAGGTTTTGGCATTTGTTCAAGTTGCAAAAGACAGTTGATGATAATAAAACATTTACCCCTTGACCAAATTGATGTGAAACTCAAAATTCTATATATTTTGTTCCCATGTTGTAATTGTTTTTGATTATCCTTTACCCGATCAATCAATACAATCAATACTACATTTGATTCTATGTATTTGGTTACTCGCCAAAACACTGTACGGATATGAGCACTGGTCCAGACTGTGACGTAGAGGCTTAAAAACCTGAGCGCAGCCAGGGGTGCTAATAACATGGAATAAGTCAATTTGAACATACAGTAAGCTCACTGGAGCCAATTTCATTATATGGGCACTTGTTCTGGTAAAAGGGGCAGACATGTGGCATCTGATTGGTCAAACCTTTATATCGCTCAGAACTGGCTTTACAAAGATAACATCAAAATATAAATCCATCATCATCGATAGAGCACAAACATTTGGCCATTCATGAAATCATTTGCAAATGTATCAACAGCTGTATTGTTTATGTAGAACTCCTTTTAAATATGGAGAATTTGAAGATTAAATTCATTCGTTCAAAAGTTATTTTATTTCTGTAATTTTACTTAAATAGTGAAACTAGTTTTTGATACAGACTCACGCAAAGTAACATTTGCTGCACAATCGCTCGAGCAAAAATCCTTGCAGAAGAAGCACTTTTCCTCGTTGGCTTTTAATTCCAGGTAGAAAAAGACAAGTTTTATTTTTTTATGTGTATATAGGCTTGTTCACACTAAAGGGTACCAAAGTGTGACAAAAGGCCAAACATTAGATTTTAATAATCAGAAGATATATTATGCTTTTCATTTAACCCATTACCTCCTGTGTCCATTAGAAGTTGCTAGAACATAAATGTTTTATAAATTGGTCAAGTTTCCTCTAGCTCTGTTTATTTATGTATCGGACGTGATGCCTTCAACGGAACGAGCTGCGCAGAAGTTTGTTACAGATTTTCAGAAGTCCACATTTGATTCTTTTGAGTCGAAGCAAAGTTATTCCTTTCATATAGTGAACCAATTAAATGTGATACCAGACGATCATTTTTTTTTTCTCAAGTTTAATTTTTAGACAAAAATTACGAAAATTACAGACACAATCAAATTAAAATGATTCCTTTTTAAATTAAGAGATTTACTGATGTTGTGTTTGCCACGTTAATCTTGTGGGAGTTCATCTGCAGCTTTTTCAGACTGAGGACATTTTATTTTCTATGTCCCTGGCGTCACAGTAGAATGATCAAATCAGAAGCTGATTTGGTCGTTTAATATGTCGCTAAAATATATTTGTCAATCTTTTATTTTTTATTTTATCCACATTATCTCTTTGATGTCTGTCTTTAAAATCTTTTTTTTGAGTTATAACCTTTTAAAGTCCAGATACTTTAACTGACACTTTACTGTGAACACACCCATATATTTCTGTATTTGTGTTTTTATTGTGCTGTTTTTGTGTTTTCTTGTCTGTACAGCACTTTGGTAACCCTAGGCTGTTTTCAATGTGATTTAAAAAATGTGTTTGGGGTTCTTAAAAGCTGTGAGTCAAAGTGATCAACATTTTTAATGCCAAGTCGGTCATACTTGGCATTATAAATTCAATTACAGTAGTAAAGTAAAGTGACTTTTGAATTATATTCTAATTTCAGAGTTTCACCTGTAGACCTCATGCTTTGTTCGATAGCGTTTAAAAAAAAAGAAATTCTCTTTAAAACTAAAAATAATCAAAAAATAATAAATACATTTGGAATCTCCTCTCATATCTCTGAAAGCCTTTTTTAAGTCAAGTTTGTCATTAGTCTTCTATGTCATTGCCTTTGCCTGGTGCGAGTGGACTGACCTCCTGATCGGACATGTTCCCGTTGAGCCCCTCCGGATCCGGACCGTCCCAAGTGGAGTTGTAGTTATCGGTCAGGGCATCCCACACGCTGCACAGAACACAGAGCACATGTTGGATTCAGCTCTAAAAACAAACTGGACGTATTTATAGCAATGGTTCTGTTTGCAGCCTGTTTAAAGCCGCTGTCTGCCATTGCATAAGAGGATTACTCCAGCGTGGGCCGTGATTGGCTGGATTGTTCGTCACTCCAGGAACCTGTAGGAGTGAATCATGACGTTTGTGGAAATTACAAGGAAAGAAAGAACACATTTTTTGTCTTTAGTTAAAAATGTAGATGTAGAATATAGTTTATAAATATGTTTGCATTTTTGTGAAAAATGGGCATATTAATCAATTCAAGCCAGTCAAAAATGTCAAAATATAGTGGATATAAATATAAACAACTAACTATGTATCTGCACAAACTAAATATAATGATAATAATAATAATAATGATAATATAATAATAAATACATAACATTAAATTATAGAGAAATATAGAAAAATCCGACTCATAAGACAGATAAAGCTTTACAAAAATAGAAAAACAAATAGACGGAATTCCCAAAAAGATGAAAAAAAATGTCCCTCTCCTATATCCAAAATTCCTAGAGAAAAGCTCACATCATAGCCCCAGTGACCTGCGCCTCTCGGATAACAGCAGGGGCCGCGTGCTGCTCGGCTCAGGGCGTGTGGTGGACTGGCTCACACTGTCTTTTGTCTGAGGCTACTTTTGTCACGGTCCCCGCTCATCCTGGCACCACACACACACACACACACACACACACACACACACACACACACACACACTCACCACGCACACACACACACACACACACACACACACACAAACACGAAGCAAACTCACCACAAACACACACGCACACACACACACACTCACCACACACACACGCACACACACACACACACACTCACCACACACACACACACACACACACACAGTAGCACATTCATAGCACAGCCTTCAGCGGGAAGCGCATGGAGAATTAATGACCCCGCACAGAAGACATTAGACTGTGGTTTTTGTTTGAAGATACCGGGGAAAAATTGTTTTTCTTAAAACATTAAAGTGTTTTGGGAGGGTCACTGAGTTAAGTTTGATCCTCATTTGATCCATCCTGTTTTTTGCTATAGGGCCTCTGGAGCAGTTGTCGCCAGAGTGCAGCTCCTGATGCTTGGGTTGGAAAGGGATCAGTGTAGGAGGATTTTTGCCTGTTGTACATGCTTTTAGTGGTTGAGGAAACCAACGCACACACAGGGAGAATATGCAAACTCCACACAGAAAGGCCCTGTTTCAACCAGGATTCAAACCCATAACCTTCTTGCTGCAAAGCGAGAGTGCTAACCACTGTGCCACCATGTTCACCAGAAAACTCCTTAATTATCAAAAGAGAGCACTGTTTTCAAACAGTCTACAGGACTTTTAAATTGAATACCACATGCAAACGCTTCCATCACTTAAAGCTAAGGTACGCAACTTTTAAACCACATTTTATATAATCCATCTAATAACTATAGACATCTCCTTTAAAACTATCCATCCATCCATCCATTTTCTTCCGCTTTATCCGTTGCCGGGTCGCGGGGGCAGCAGTCTAAGCAGAGACGCCCAGACTTCCCTATCCACACACACCTCCTCCAGGTGTGTGTGGAGGCAGGCTGAGAGACATAGTCTCTCCAGCGTGTCCTGGGTCTTCCCTGGGGCCTCCTCCCGGTGGGACGTGCCCGGAACACCTCCCCAGGAAGGCGTCCAGGAGGCATCCTGAACAGATGCCCGAGCCACCTCAACTGGTTCCTCTCGACGTGGCGAAGCAGCGGCTCTACTCCGAGCTCCTCCCGTATGACCGAGCTCCTCACCCTATCTCTAAGGGAGCGCCCAGCCACTCTGCGGAGGAAGCTCATTTCGACCGCTTGTATCCGCGATCTCGTTCTTTCGGTCATTACCCAAAGCTCATGACCATAGGTGAGGGAGGGAACAAAGATTGACCGGTAAATTGAGAGCTTTGCCTTTCGGCTCAGCTCCCTCTTCACCACAACGGTCCGATACAGCGACCGCATCACTGCGCACGCTGCAGCGATCCGCCTGTCAATCTCACACTCCATCCTCCCCTCACTCGTGAACAAGACCCCGAGATACTTGAACTCCTCCACTTGAGGAAGGACCTCTCCACCCACATGGAGAGGGCAAGGCACCTTTTTCCGGTCGAGCACCATGGCCACGGATTTGGAGGTGCTGATTCTCATCCCAGCCGCTTCACACTCGGCTGCAAACCGTCCCAGTGCATGCTGCAGGTCCTGGTTCGTTGGAGCCACCAGGACGACATCATCCGCAAAAAGTAGAGATGAAATCCTGTGGTTCTCGAACCGGACCCCCTCCGGCCCCTGGCTGCGCCTAGAAATTCTGTCCATAAATACAGTGAACAGAACCGGTGACAAAGGGCAGCCTTGGCGGAGGCCAACATGCACCGGGAACAGGTCTGACTTACTGCCGGCAATGCGAACACAGCTCTGACTCCGGACGGCCCTCAGCAGAGGACCCCGGACCCCGTACTCCCGGAGGACCCCCCAAAGGACACCCCGGGGAACACGGTCGAACGCCTTCACCAAATCCACAAAGCACATGTGGACAGGTTGGGCGAACTCCCATGAACCCTCGAGTGTCCGATGGAGAGTATAGAGCTGGTCCAGTTTTCCGCGAACGGGACAAAAACCACACTACTCCTCCTGAATCCGAGATTCGACCATCGGACGTAGCCTCCTCTCCAGTACCTTGGAGTAGACCTTACCGGGGAGGCTGAGGAGTGTGATCCCACGATAATTGGAACACACCCTCCGGTCCCCCTTCTTGTAGAGAGGAACCACTCCATATGCACCGCCCCCGATTGCCACGCGATGCTGCAGAGACGTGTCAGCCAAGACAGTCCTACAACATCCAGAGACTTTAGATAGTCAGGACGGATCTCATCCACTCCCGGCGCCTTGCCACCATGGAGGCTGCCAACCACCCTGGTGATCTTGGCCAGGGAGATGGAAGTATCCGCCCCAACATCCTCAGCCTCTGCCTCCTGGACGGAGGACGTGACGGGGGGATTGAGGAGAACCTCCAAGTATTCCTTCCAGCGCCCGACAATATCCCCAGTCGAGGTCAGCAGCCCTCCACCCGCACCATACACGGTGTTGGCAAAGAACTGCTTCCCCCTCTTGAGGCGCCGGACGGTTTGCCAGAACCTCTTCGAGGCCCAGTCCCGGGTTTTTGCCTCTGCAACAGCCCGGGCCGCGGCACGTTTGGCCTGCCGGTACTGGACAGCTGCCTCAGGAGTCCCACAAACCATCATTGCTCGATAGGACTCCTTCTTCAGCCTGACGGCATCCCTTACTGCCGGTGTCCACCACCGGGTTTGGGGATTGCCGCCGGGACCAGCACCAGAGACCTTGCGACCACAGCTACGAGCCGCCGCATTGGCGATAGAGGAAGAGAACATGGTCCACTCGGACTCGATGTCCCCCTCCTCTGCCGGGACCTGGGAGAAGCTCTCCCGGAGGTGTGAGTTGAAAGTCCGTCTGACAGACACGCGGTCGAAGGTCAGATGATACGACAACAAAGTCGATCATCGACCTCCGGCCTAGGGTGTCCTGGTGCCACGTGCACTGATGGACACCCTTGTGCTCGAACATGGTGTTCGTGATGGACAGGCCGTGACTGGCACAGAAGTCCAACAACTGAACACCGCTCGGGTTCAGATCAGGGGGGCCGTTCTTCCCGATCACCCCTCTCCAAGTGTCAATGGCATTTCCCACATGGGCGTTGAAGTCCCCCAGGAGAATAACGGAGTCCCCGGGCGGTGCACTGTCCAGTACCCCTCCCAAGGACTCCAAGAAGGCCGGGTACTCTGCACTACCGGTAGGCCCGTAGGCCGTCACAACAGTGAGAGACTTGTCCCCCACCCGGAGGCGGAGGGACGCGCCTCTCATTCACCGGGGAGAACTCCAACACGTGGCGGCTGAGATGGGGGGCAATGAGTATGGCCACCCCAGCTCGCCGCCTCTCCCCGCGGGAAACACCAGAAAAGTGGAGCGTCCAACCCCTCTCAAGGAGTTGGGTTCCAGAGCCCAAGCTGTGTGTGGAGGTGAGGCCGACTATCTCTAGTCGGTATCGCTCAACCTCCCCCACAAGCTCGGGCTCTTTCCCCCCCAGTGAGGTGACGTTCCACGTCCCAAGAGCCAGATGTTGGGTGTGTGGACTGGGTCGTCGAGGTCTCCGCCTTCGACTGCTACCCAGTCCTCGCTGCACCTCGCCACCACGGACCCCTCTGCAGGTGGTGGGCCCACAGGAGGGACTGCCCACGTCATCCCTTCGGGCTGAGCCCGGCCGGGCCCCGTGGGCTAAGGCCCGGCCACCAGGCGCTCGCTTGCGAGCCCCGACCCCAGGCCTGGCTCCAGGGTGGGGCCCCGGCTGCGCCATGCCGGGCGACGTCACGGTTTTCATTGTCGTGCTGTCCATGGTTGGCTTCGGACTGCGCTTCGTCTGACTCGTCACTTGAGACCTGTCTGCCATGGGAGACCCTACCAGGGGCATGAAGCCCCAGACAGCATAGCTCCCAGGATCATCCGAGTGCTCAAACTCCCCCACCACGTTAAGGTGGCAGTCCAAGGGGGAGCTTTAAAACTATTCTTTGCTTAAAGCTTTTTCTTACAACTAATGAGATGAAGACAGCACATTGGGGTTTGATTTGTTGAAAATATTTGACTTCTAAAAGACATATTTTGTACCCCAGCTGTGTTTATAATGGTTTGGCAAATGATGATTAGAAAAACCAAGTGAATTTATGTTAGCACTGTGGTTGATGGAGAATATCAAACTGGCTTTTCTTTGAGCTTATTCTGTATATGGAGCATCTATGTTTGGTTTTGTGTGTACTTATGTCTTCACTTTAATTCCTATTCCCTGTGCATGTGTGTGCCTGTGTGTGTGTGTGCCTCTGTGTGAGTGTGTGTGTGTGTATTTCTGTGTGCGTATGTGTGTATGTTTGTGTATTGGCCCACAGCCACTGAACTCATCATTCTGCCCATGTCCCATCCGCCTGTCACACAGTCACACGGTCTGTAATCACAAAAACTCAGGGGATTAGGCCCAAAGCTTTAAACAGGCTGCTTTTCCCCAAACATAACTTCAGCTGATATTACTGCAGATATTTGAACATTTCTCCTGGATCACCTTGAAGCAAGTTCCACTCTCTGTCTGACCCTATATATCCACAGATACTGAAATATCAAATACTATTCCACAAAATAATGGAGGTGGAGTTAAAATTGTTATTATTATTTTTACAGGTTTTTAATTTTCTCATGGAAGGATAACAGATAACATTAAAGGTAAATCAATAACACAGTAACGCGTACATTTGATTACTTAGTAAATAAATCAACTGGAATAAAATGTATTTACATGCATGTTCCAAATAAAATAAAAATAAAATGTAATTAAACTAAATAAACTATAATATGGCATCAACACTTTGAGTAATGTGATGGCAATTGTATTATTTTCGAGTCTGTTTCATATTTTAAGATGCAACATTTAATGCATGTGCCCATGGTTCTTGTGCTTTGTTTTTTCCCAGGAACATCTTGGTGCCGAACTCTGACCTTTTGAGTCCCAGTCTGGTCCCAGTCTCGTCCCAGACCAGGACAAGCTTCCTCCCTGTTTTGATTTGTTATGACCAGTGTTGATAAAGACTGGTACCTGCAGGAGTAAAACCCTCTTCTCCCTCCAGCCCTTTTTCCTCCCTGTAACCCCCTCTCTTCTCTGTTACTGTGAACGAAGCATGATTAGAACAAGACAGACGGAACAATTGAGGTTGTGGAGCCAAAGAAAGGGTTCTTTGCAAAGTCTGTACTGTTTGTTCTCCAATATTTGAATAAACCAAACAAAGACAAGCTGTTTCCCTGAACTACAAATTCCTACTACAGTAAAAACCTTGAAATGTAGGACATGTTTTAATAAGTACTATTGTTTGTGGTTGATCACAGTAAACAAGTAAAGCCTGCTAACACTGCCTTAGATTCTTGTTCAAACCTAATAAAATGAATCTATGTCCCAGACAGAGCACAGCGGCTTCTATGATCTGTTCTGGGATCAAAACCAAGTTTACATAACTCATTTTGGGTACAGACTCGAGCAAGGCGAACGCAAAAAGCTGCAAAAAAGATTGCATTCACGGTCTAAAATAGTATTTCTGTTGGAGGGCCGGTGCCAAAACTGTACGGGAAAAAACACACTTTTGAAAGAACTGTTTGAAAATAAAGTGTATAAATGCTTCCCCAGATTGGACAGGCTTTTTTAATAGTGTCACCACTGTAATCTCATGAGGAAATAATCCCATATTCAATATTTACTGAGAAAGAAAATCTGTAATTTTGTGACATGTGGATTATCCCAGAATTTACAGAGAAATTTTGGCTATAAACTAAGACTAAAGTCTATAGTCTGACTTTTGAAAGTAACCTTTGTAACCAGAAAGCATTTTTCTGCTGCCCTGCACTACATTTTAACCTATAACCTTTAGAATCTTGTGGTGCAATATGAACAGAACCAATAGAACTAGTTTTCATTTTTCACAAGGGATAATTTTCCATTTCCATCGCACCCCACAGTTTGCATGCACGTATACATAATTACATTAATAATTATAGAATCCCATTAGAATCACAGCTTGTCCACACCCGTACATTCTAATTTTCCGTCTGAGCTCGTTTCTGTCTAAACTACATGCAATGCCTTCATCAACAGCTCCTCCCCACACCTACAAGCTGTCTATTTTTAGCCTTTCTCATGTCCACGCTGTTCCAGATCCCAGCGGGAACAAATGTTGGTCAGCTGACGTTTGAATGGCACCAGAGCAGAGCCGAGGGAAGCGAGGCGGAGGGAGATGCTTCTGAATAATGCAGAGAGAGGCCGAGAATGCAGAGAGAGGGAGGGTTTGAGAGGATACAGACTGACCGCACGATGTTTACATGTTTGCGGTTATGGGAAACAGCATTGCTACAAGGGCCATCACGATAACACACTTCAAGTCTCTCCATGGCCTCCATATTAGTGCAGTGTGACCCAGCTCTAACTCTGAGGAGCACAGGGACTGACCTCCTGCTGTTGCACAGAGTCAGGACTAAACATGGGGAGGCAGCATTTCAGCATCTAAAGTCTGGAACAGTCCTGAAAATGTGAGACAGGCTTCTACTTTAGCTGTGCATACAACTTCACTCTTTATACTGTGATTATCTTTGTCATTAGGATTTGAATGCCTCATATGATGCATGATCTTGTTTTTGCACTTTCCTTGTGTATGAACTGTGCTATACAAATAAACGTGCCTTGCCTCATGCGTGATCAGTTGATAAACATACAACATAGAGACATTTCTCTGACACAAACCAATCCCCCAAAGATTATCCCACAATAACCTATTATCAACACCACGTCTTCAAAACAACACCTAAACAAGCTACAAGGAGGAAGCCCCCTCACCCAATGTTCTGTGGTGGTGAAGAATACCAATGTCAATACCCCTGCGGTTATTTATAAATGAACTTTTAGGACTATAAAGTATTTTTACTCAAAATAATAATGCAACAAAGTCTTATACAAAGCTCTTCTTACATCCTTTCTTTGAGACCATTCAACATGTGTGTGTACTTCAAAGAAAATAGCTGTGTACATAATATATATTGTCAATATTTTCTCCACTTTTAAAACCATGTGACTTTATGCCCATCCACTGACCATGTGTGCACTGAGACACTCTCGAATATGCCCTGAAGAAGTGTTTCTATTTCTAATTCCAATTCTTGCATGTTGAATAGAGGCCATGTTGAAGATTTTTGTAACCTTTGAGTGCCTCAGTCTTCTGTCTCAATACATTTACATGTATTTAAAAAGAGAAAAGGGGAAAAAAAGAGCTACAATAGTAAAATGGCAGAAATGATCAGGTCTTTACTAAGTTTGAGTTCAAATTCTGCCAATCCAACATGAATAAAGCGTACAGAGAATTGAAGTTTCGATATTACGCAAAAGAAGAAGTAACATCTTGAAAGAAAAGATAAATGTTGCCTCTGTTGGTTTTTTTGCTCAAAGTAGTTTCTCATTTCAACACTAGTTTTAGTCAAATCCAATGTATCTATATAGCACACAATCCAAGCATACCAAAGTTGAACAATAAAATCGAGTGCCCTGGTAAAAAAAACTCACTCTTCGTCCTGCAGCCGCTCCTCCTCCTCCTCCTCCTGGCTCGTGCCCTGGTTGCGGATCGGCGCTAGGCCTTCCGTCTTGGTGTTGTAGTTGTGGAAGCAGACGTTGAGCTTCTCGTCAAACTCGTTGACCAGGTCCTCCATGGACTTGAAGCTCATCATCTCAGAGAAGTTGTCCAGCTCTGAGAAGTCCTCGCGGCTGATGGGCACCAGGGCCACGGTGGAGGACGTGGAGTACGTGGAATGTTCCGGAGAGTCCATCCGGCACGGGCGCAAGTCCTCGAACTCCTCATCCAGGCACACGAGTGGGGCTTCCATGGTGGGCCCTGGCTGTGAGAGCACACAGGCACCTGGGGAGAACAGACAGACATCTTTTGTCTTAAACTGGTTTTTAGGAATATTTAAACACATTTTTTTTAATTAATTAGGTTAAATAAATTATACATTTATTTAACCGAATTAATAAAACAAAGATTTTGAGTAATGAAACAAACTTCAGAAAGCTAGAATGGATAATTATATATAATATATATATAATAATATATTATTATAATAATTCATAGGTTTGGTTACCACGTACACCACGTTTGAAAGCAGAACATATAGACAGATGGGGTGGGGAGATGTGCTGAACCAGATATCAGTTTGATGAAGCTGTTCATGACATCGAAATATGCTTTACATGGAATTATGCCTTCACTTCTAATACCGTGATGGTGAACTGGGGCAGACTAATAACACCAATCATTCACACACACACACACACACACACACACACACACACACACACACACACACACACACACACACACACACACACACACACACACACACACACACACACACACCAGACTCATGCATAGGTTATGTGGGAGGAGTGTCTTGCCTAAGGAATGACAGTTTAGCACTTTGTCTCCCATCACAATATTAACCAGGACCTGCCCTCTAGCTATTTACTATTTTTAAACATGCCAGCATCATCCTACAAGATACAGTTTTTTGAGCTGAATGGTTTTGATCTTTTTTCATAAAAGATGCACTCTAAAAAAATAAAAAATAAAAGACAAATCTACAATATACAGTATTGTCCTTTCTGCCAATAAGATGCTTCTGGAAACACGGGATGATATATGGAAAGTCTAACCCGAAAATGTCTAATGCAATCACTTTGTTTTGTTGTAGCGAGCATAAATATCCCCCGAGCAGCTCACGTCCTTCTTCACAGAGTCTCAATGACTGTCCAAGACAACAGATCCAAAAGAAACTGTTACGGCACAATGAAACTCCTCCTGTCTCTGCCACAGACTGCTTTTGATGCAGCGGACCACACCTTCTCACTGGCACCATGTAGAGACAGGTTTATGAGACAGAAGGGGCCCGGTCCCAGTGGGAACACAACCATTTGGGGAGAGTACGAAGGAACCAGTGCTAATGAGGAACCTGCTGGGAACAGACATTCTAAGAGCTGTGTTCCATCAAACACAAAAATAAAAAAGAGTAGTTTGTGTAGAGATTGACACATAGTTAATTCCTTTTATCCATTTTGAATATAGAAAATTTCAGCACATTATTTATTAACTTTTCTTTGTAGTTTATGCTGATCATGAGATGGAGGAAGTGTGTGTGGACAGGGAAGTCTGAGCATGTCTGACCTGGCAACAGATAAACCGGAAGAAAATGGATGGATGGTTGATACCGATCGTGTTTAATCACCAGTTTTGGGCAAATCCCTCAAAAATTCAGGGACAAAGCACAAGAAAAAAGTCATGTGCCAGGTTTGAGCAATGCTAGTTTCCAGCTCTTGTCCCTGAACATGTTGGTGTTGTATAAAACTACAGACCAGTCACAAAATCAGCCGCATTAACTCAAAAACTGATTCAGCCTGATTTACAGCAACATGATCAGAGCACTTCCTCTACGCACACGCAGCACTGTGCGGATATTGTTTTTCAGTCTCTGTCATAAATCTCTGGGTCAGAAAGAGTCCTGTACTTAAAAAAATTAAAATACCATTAATAACCATTGTAATTATCCATTGTATTGACAAATAGAATCCAAGGCAAGGCAAGGCAAGTTTATTTGTATAGCACAATTCATACACAAGGCAACTCAAAGTGCTGAACAAAACAAGAAAGCATTAAAATCATAAATAATCACAGTACATTAAAAAAAAAGATGAAAATATAAAATCCCTCAGTTGTATGCTTAGCTAAACAGAACCGTCTTTAACCTGGTTTTAAACATTGTCAGAGAGGAGGCCTGTCTCACATCTTCAGGAAGACTGTTCCATACAATTCCAATGATAGTTCAGTACCAGTTTGACTCAGTAGAAATAATGTTATACCCTGTCTAGAACAGGAGAACTTTCATCAGATTTAACTTCAGACTGTGAGATGAGCATGTAAATACCCGGCTTCTGGAATCTAAAATGTATAGTGTATGTGAGTATCGGTTGTGAGTGGGTGAACAGGAATGAGTGAAACCAATTACAGGTATGAGGCATAAAATGATAAAAAGGTTGATACCCCTTAAAAGTGGACATTATGAAAGTGAAATTGGGGAGTTTAGCCAACCATTAGCCAGTAGAGTGAAAGCCAGTGGCTAGTGTCGCTATGCCAGTGCCACTAATTCAATACAGCTGATTAACATGTTTTGGCACCTAAAATGTGTTTCTAGGAAGGCTCAAACCAGCAGGCATCGTGTTAGTAGGCAGACGTCGCATTGCTGTCATCCCCATGGTAATGCCAGCCTGAAGAAAGTTACAAAATGTGTGTGCAGTGAACATCCAATTAAAATGGATTCAGGAAAGAAAAAAAAACAGTTCTATTCTGTGAAGGTTTGAACCGACTTTATAATTAGTGCGCAAAAATACTGGACTTCCACTCCCAGACTTTTTCTGTCTCTTCCCGTCTCTGTTGGAGCCTGATGAGTCTGAGAAATTCCAGTTGGATGTCACACAAAAGCGGGTGTGTGCAGATGATCAATAGGTTTTGTTTTTGTCTCATGACGTCAAAACAGTAAACAGTAAATTTGACTATCGGTCCAATGAAACATTTTTTTTCTTATACATTCTGACTTCATCCTGAAATTCCACCTAAATCTGTGCACTTCCGCTTCAGTTGGATGAGCTGTGTCTTTGGGCGACAGTAGAAAAGGACGACATCGAAGGCTCTGCTCTGACCACGGACCAAGTTAGCGATCAGCTGCTCATGTGTGCACAATGTTGCCGAATCATCAGCGCAACGAAGATTCAGAAAATTGCCCAAACAAAATAAATAGTGGGTGTCGTGATCAGAAGACACTGAAAGAGGAGGAGCAATACTGTCTAAGGCAGCGGACTCCAACCTTTTACAATCGTAAAGCTACTTGTATACAACAGAAGAGGCAGAGAGCTACTCCTTTTTGCAGCCCTAATAAAACATCTATGAAATACTTAAGACAAGACGGAACAAACATGGAGAACACATGTAAATATACAATAATACTGTATAACCTTATCTTTTTTACATATAACAGATGACTCAAAATGTATTCATTCAGGATCCTGTGTTGAATTCTAAATCCTTTGGGGAGCTACCTAAGAGAGGCTGGCTGGAGAGAGCTACTGGTAGTAAATCTGTGCATGTTATGTCCTGTTTAAGACTCAATAAAAGCAGGGTATTCTTAGTGTTCTTGCAAAAAGGCACAAGACAAATAGTGTGTGATTGACAGGCTACTCTCAGGTGAGCCAGGGGGGCGTGGGGGGAGGCTATTATGGAGGTCAGTGCAATCAATGGAGCACACTTTGTCATGTTTAGTGCTTGGGGGCTAATACCATAGAGCAAACTAATATTCACTCATAATAATGAAACCGTGGCCATGGATATTATGATTTCACCTTTTACTAATGACTTATTTTATGTGGAAAAATATATACAATATTATTTAGAATGAAGTCTTTGCTAGTGCTGTATGATATTTTATTTATTTCAAAATTCCTATAACAGAAAACTATGTTAAAAAATTAAAGCAAAACTGGCACATGGCATTATGACTCAACAATATATGAAAACGTTGAGAATGTTGATTGTTTGTTGATTTAATCAAGTAAAAGTGTCTGTCACTTAAACATCAATCTACTTTTAGATTTGGGATCAATATTTTTGCATTGAAATATCTGCCACACTTGTATTGGAAACACATAAAGGCATGAATGTATGGAAATGGAGAGGTAGAAAAAACAAAAAACATTGACAAAAATTCAACTGCAATTCCGTCAGCATACAGATTCACACTGAGAACAACCTTGTACTGAAATAACCCGACTGTCATTACTCAAGCCTTAAAAAATCCTATCCCCACCACCCCAAGGCACGGGCCACGAAAACACAGAGTTGACACCGCGACATGAAGACCCTAATTGTGCTTCCACCCCCCAACACACACGGCTTACAGCAGTCATTCTCGGCTGAAATCACAACAATAACTCCTTAATTTATTCAACTACAGCAGACAAAAGGAACGATTGATGCCCGGTACATGTGATGAGGAGAGGTGGGGGAGGAGCGGAGATGCTGGGAAGGAGATGGAGAAACCATGGTTACTGCCTCTGTAGGGCAGATGACCGATGCAACCACGCAAAAAATACATAATGAAGCAGGGTTACCTTCACTCGATGATCACAGCTTCTTCAACCCTTTCCGAAAGTATATCCAGAACACGTCTTGTCTGCATAAACACAGCTGTATGTCCTCACGCAGCCTGACTTGGATTTTTTTCTTCTCTGCTTCACAATCAATAGGTTCTCTGTCCTCGCCGCTCTGAGCATGCGCACGAGTGAGATAAGATGCTGACGCCATCGCTGGGTGCTCTGTAAGCCCCCTCCCTTTCCCCCATTATTCCTGCCTCTGTTCCCCCACCGGCCCCTTCACTGTGAGCACTGTTCATGGGAGAAGGAGGAGGGGGGGGGAAGAAGATTGAGGAGGTGGGAGCTGTTCTCGTGGTGGACCGTACGGTGGTGGTCTCTTCAGTGGTACAGACCTATCTTTAGCATGAATCTAGTGAAACCTCAAACTTTAGCTTGTGTGAAATTTTTTTTCCTTCTTATTCATTCAAAAGGTCTTTTCCCCAAACCACCTGCTCCAGAGACGCACCAGCCAATCCAATCCAAGCACTCAAGAAATGTTTTCCCTTTTTTCTAACCTGCAGTGTTTTCTTTGGGGTCCTATTACGAATCATAATTTTCCTTTTTTGTGAAATAGTCAAATAAATACTTTTTTTCACACTACTAGCTATAATATGTATATATATATATCATATATATATATATATAATATATATTATATATATATATATATATATATATATATATATATATATAATTTTTTATATATATATATATATATATATATATATATATATATAATTTTTATATATAATATATATATATATATATATATATATATATATATATATATATAAAAAATTATTTGTATATATATATATATATATATATATATCTCCTGTACACCCACAGGAGGAGAGCCTTTTGACTACAAAACAGACCGGATTTACATGTTTTTCAATGGGAGCAAAACGGAGTTGCCCCATCTCTGCTCATAAACTACAAACAGTAATGCGCTGCAGTGCGCTGCAAAGAGACTTTCTCTCGTTGCGTTTCAGAAGAGAAAACAGATTCCAACGTTCATAGTGATGTCTGCCCTTCATGACACATAAAATGAACTAATTCACGTTCAAGTTCTTTTTTTAAAAAGGTGTTGCGTTCAGTTCAACGTTCACAAAAAAATGAGCGTGTTCAATGAACGCGTTCTTTTGAACACGTTCACGCATAACACTGATTACAATTATATCAGGTTTTATATATTTATGTGAGTGGAGTTATCACGGTATTGTTGAGGAATGTGTGCACACTTTGAATCTTTTACAAAAAGACTAAATATTGATTCTGTTTTCAGACACATTACAAAAATGACACCTGGCCTCATTGCTCTGATTGGACAGCCCTTTGTTTTTTAATAGAAAAATATTCTTTACAAAACATACTGAAAAATATTCAGATATTGAGATTTGACACAACAATGTACGACTAGCTTTCGTTAGAATGGCCACACATGAAATAATTAACTTTTTTGTTCACACACATTCTCGGACATGCAGTGCAGTGTAAGAAGAATATAGTATATTTATGTGTAAGAACCACTGTGGTAAGAATTAAAGACTTTCTGCAGAAACTAAAGGTACGGAGCGTCAGGAGAGGGCGCTAGTTCCTCATTTACAGGATTTATCTAAGAATTATTACGTGCATAGCTCAATGGAGCTGGGCCTGATCATGGATCTATTGTAATATCCTGATGAAGGAGCTGCTTCGGTGAACACAGCCCTTTTCAGGAGCATTTCTGAAACTATGTGTGAGGATTATCCCTGACTCAAAATGCATTATGGGTCACAGCCGTACGTCAAGTGGACCTCAGCCAGGGCAGGCCCTAGGTCATCAGGCGCCCCAGGCGAAAATATATGATGGCGCCCCTTGCACACTTGTAGAGGGCATCACAGTGATCAGTTTGCTCTGAATGTAGTCACAAACCTTTAAAATGTGCATTTTGGCGGCTCATTCCCGCGGCTTCTCTTTCCACTTTTACGTAAGAAACAGCCTACGAGAGCCTGCTGTTGATCAGTGTTGGGCAAGTTACTTCAAAAACGTAATACATTATGTTTCGCTTATTACTGTTAAAATAATTTATTACACTATAATTTGACTGTATCTGAATTGTAACTGCATTACTTTTAAGTTACTTTCTCCAAACGCTAGTAAAAAAAAAAAAGGATTAGGATTTAATCATCTCAAGTTCCATTTTTAAATATTAATTTCAGTATAATAATCGAAGGGGGTGTTGAACTTGGTGTAAACTGGTTAATCCTAAACAGGTTCAGTCCTGGCTCAGTCCTGGCACAGTCTGACTCAGTCCTGGCTCAGTCCTAGTTCAGTCCTGGCTCAGTCCTGGTTATCCTGGCTCAGTCCTGGCTCAGTCTGGCTCAGTCCTAGTTCAGTCCATGTTCAGTCCTGGTTGTCCTGGCTCAGTCCTAGTTCAGTCCTGGTTGTCCTGGTTCACAGCAGCTCACTGCTTTATTTAATAAACATGATGGAAGTGCATCATTCTTGCCTGTTTAAAACGCGCCGCTCATCGCGCACGTATTTTCCGCCCGTTGTGTAGTGTCTGCCTCTGTCTCAGTTATGACTCTGTAGAGCAGTGTCTCCCAAAGTGGGGTCCGCGGCCCCCTGGTGGGCCGCGAGGGTACTGCAGGGGGGCCGCGGGAGGTCATAAAAAAATAAAAATAATAATATAATTATTTAATGTTAAATGTATAATGTTTTGTTTGTAATATTAAAATATTTGTGTTCATTATTTGACTTGAATAATCCACTGTAATCATTTTTGTATTACAATGTTTGTAGCAGAGGCTATTTCCCCAAAATAAAATAACCAGAAGAGCCTATGTTGTCTTCTTGGTTATTATTTTGGGGGGCCACGCAGACCCGTCAGATTTTTAAGGGGGCCTCGGTGTTACTGAGTTTGGGAATGGCTGCTGTAGAGAGTCATAACTGACTTAAGTTATGACTCTAATCTGTCCATATACTGCATGTCTATGTTCATACCTCTACTTTGAGCCCGTTTTTCATTCTCTTCTTTCTTTGGTGTTTGGCTGCACCTGGCGTAGACTGCCTTTTCTTAATAACGTTGACCAAAAACCATGGACTCGTCCACCTTTCTTTCACACTTTCTGAGATGTGCGGGGCTGCCCCTCCCCCACCTACTCAGCTTGGCGCTACAAGAGAGCCGCTTACAGTAGCAGAGTTCAATGATGACAATTTTATTAAGTTTATAGTATATCTAAACTGTATTTTTCAATCTTACGTGATGGGAAACACTTAGCAGAATAATTAAAAAAGGAAACTGTTTTTTTTTTAAAGACTGCAATTTTGCGCCCCATCCTGCAGATGGCGCCCCTATGCCCTGGGCCGGCCCTGACCTCAGCAACTATTCAAGATGAACTTCTGCAGTGTATGTTTCATGAAGGAAGACGGAGTAAAGCAGGTGTCTGATACTCCATTCGTTGCTGTTAAAGCAGATGAAGATGTCTCATAGAAATCGCAGGCAGTGGTTGTTGCAAAAGTGGCCAGCTATGGAGCGGCAGGTAACGCACCAGCACAGGTCTCCTTCCGTCTTACCCGTTGATCTATTATAATATCGGTCTTACCACATTTAATATTATTTTAAGTAACTGTATGCAGAATTAATTCTTTTTTTTCTGGTGGTACTCGGAAAACACAGCAAGGGAAGACGTTACAAGTAAACGATTTGCAATTCGCTTGCTCTTTAAGTAAGTAATGTTTGTTTATATACCGCTTTTCACAGACCAGAGTCACAAAGCGTTTTACAATTGTTATTTTTGGGCACTTGTCCTCTCACTCCACACAGAGATGGCAGCGGGGTAGTGCGTTTATTATCATAAACGCACACAGTGCGTTTATTATCATAGATCCATGGTTTACCCTTTTATATGATCAGAAATAACAAATGCTTAGCTAATGTTAAGAACAGATGCAAAACAACCCATACACAACATACAGCGGACGCAAGTGCGTCATTACCATGACAACACCAGTTCATAAAATGCAGCGCGCGCTCTGAAAATTCATAATCTCCTCTTGACTTGAGTCAGTGAGTGCTGCGCTTCGAGACGGTGAGTAACTTTGATCCACATTTTCATAAAGCACATTGCTACAACCGGGCAGACGGTCACTGTGAAGGAACTAATGTCTGATAACTGTGTTTACACATCTCCCAGGTTTACTGAAGCAAATAACTAGCTATGGACAACATGGACGAATGGGCCTACGTACCTCTGGACCGTGGTAAACAAAGTGGAAATACTACAATTAGTTTATGAAAAAAATCAGAAGAAAGTGACGGGAACGTTAGAATAAACTCTCTTCACCTTCATTTGGATCATTGTTCAAGTCAAATGATTTGTTGGATGATGGTTTTTTACTCGCACATATGTAGTAGGCTTTTTTGACACAATTCTCTGAAATGCATTGGTGAAAACCTGGGTACAATACCATTCATTTGTAGTTTTGTGTGCAAGCTAACAGTTTTTTGATGGAAATGTAGGAAAACGTGGATATTAATGAAGTGTGCCTCAAAGTTCTTCTGCATTTCACTCAAACAAAATGGCGCCCGTAACCCTAATGTTTAGGAACGTTCCATTGCAACGCCACTGCAGATCATAGACAGGTGTACAAAATGCCCTTTGGCTCATGACAGCGACATTGATCGAAGAAGAAAGACTGAGCATCTGTCACTGTCACTGTAAAGCCTAGCGTACATCGACAGAGAAACTGGGGACAACTAGTTGCAAGGCGGCTTTTGGCAACTGAGAGGAGATGGTGGGAGATGATCTGTTGCCGAAATCGGTCGATGTGCGCGCTCTTACAACTGGAGATGATCAGTCGGTCTCCAGTTTCAGTCAGTTGCCCGTGTTCTACTTTTCGGCAACTAGTCGTCCTCAGTTTCGGAGATATGACCCGATGTGCACGCTCCATGCGCCGCTCCGACAACGTGTGTGTATTGCGTGTATTGCGAGCCCGCAACAGTTTATGTCAGAAAACACACTGTAGTTGAGGCCAGTTGCTGTCAATGTACGCGCTGTTATTCCCGAGACTGGTCTGCCACTGGGAGTTGCCCGTTTTCGTCAGATTGTCGATGTGTGCGGGGCAGCAACTCATATGCGACGGATATAATCAGTTGCCAGTCCGATGTACGCTAAGCTTAAGACGATGTAGGAAGCAGCAGAGTTTGACTTTAGCCTTGATATAATGAACTTCTGTTTCTCACAAAGCAAAGCATGTCGCTGTATCATCACTTATCTATTTGGGCTTTTTGAGTTGACAGCATTTTGTTTTGTGTTTTTAGACTGGTTCATGTGTGTGAAGCCTCTACAAGCTCAGACTAGGTTGTAAACTGACATCTAGTGGACAAATGTATTACTTGCATAATAAAGAAGCAAGTAAAAATACTGTATAGTACAAGAGATATCATTGTTATTATGATTAAGTGGTTTGTCATTTGATATTGTATATAATCAAGCCTTAATTCATAAAAAAGGAAAAAAGGGGGATTTATTCGATTACTCAATTAATCTATCAACAGAATACCCGACTAAAATGTTTGATAGCTGCAGGTCTAATTTAATGTTGTTTGTCCAAATGTAACAGTAAAATATTGTCCTCAACACAATGTTTTCATCTCACTATAAACATGCTGTTGTTTACATACTTACTAATACTTACATACTTGTAATAATAGCCCTGTGAGTCAGTGAGGCTGAAACTGTTGTATTATGAACATTCACCCCATTGCTCCATGGTTCCATCATGAGGTGATTATTCACTCACATTTCTTCTGTCCTAGGAGACCGAGCTGACCGCACCTACTACGGAGTGGAACAAGCCCCGCCCGGACCAGGTGGTGACCGCCCTGCTCCCCCTCGTGGTGAATTTGGTCATTCTGCTTGTACATGCCTTTTCTGTGCTTCTGCAATATTTAGGACAAACATTACAATTAGACTCGACACATTGAATGTTAGGTTTCAAGCCTAGGGTTTCAATAAGTGAATGAATTCTAATGGACTTTGACTTAAGGTGATAGTATCTTATTTTGTTCAGCACTTTGAATTGCCTTGTGTATGAATTGTGCTATATAAATAAACTTGCCTTGCCATAGTCTGGAACTCTACATGAATTACAAATTTTAAGAATTGTATAAAATTGACCTCCTGGCCTTAAATGTTGGTATAAAATAAGTCCACGTTAACCAATCGAGTCATGCCAAGGGCTGTCAATCATCGGCGCTCATGCTCTGTTGTTTTCGCGGAGCCTCCGAATCAAGCCTCCATTAGGCTCTGGAACTACATGAAAACTGAACAAAGAATTCTGAGCATCCGCGCTGAGTTACCCATTTATATACTGAACCTATATCCGTAATCATTTATATACTGAATCTATATCCATAATCATTTATATACTGAACCTATATCCATAATCAGATCCTCTGCAGATGTGTCCTATAATGTTCAACTAATGATAATAGCTACTTCCAGGGTTACCGCGATCACTTTTTTTGTGCATTTAAACATTATTTTTGTCATGAAAACGTTAACAAATACTTCTGAAAACCTCCGTGCATGTGTATTAATAATGTATATGTATAATGTGTTCTCCGATTAACATTTAAATGTACCTATCTCTCTTTTTTCTGACAAAATCCAGACAATCACTTTAAAGATGCTGTGAAGATGTTTTATGACTTGTGTGAGTCTTTATGACTCACGTAAACAGCAGAATGAAATATACATTTATAACAAATGTATTTGAGCTGTACTCAAATGTTATTCATTTAGTAAGTAAGTACGTAATCTATATTTATATACCGCCTTTTCACTGCAGACCAGAGTCACAAAGCGGTTTACAATTGTTTATTTTGGGCATTTGTCCTCTCACTCCACAGAAATGGGAGCGGGGTCGCCAGTACAGGAGGCGCATGCCAGAACTATTGTACATATTTTTAGTGGTAGGGGAAACCGGAGTACCCGGAGGAAACCTACGCAGACACGGGGAGAACATGCAAACTCCACTCAGTAAGGCCCTGGAACCCAGGACCTTCTTGCTGAGAGGCGAGAGTGCTATCCACTCAGCCACCGTGCCGCCCATTTAGCTTTTATATCCATTTAATTTTTATATTTGTGATAATAATTATTCAGTAGTCATTATTCATAGTTCGCTAAACAAATTGATTAAGGAAATCATCATACTATGTATATATGATATATAATATACATAATATTTATACTATTTGCCCATTCATGTGTGTGCTTGTGTTCTTGTGTGGAACTGGATCCGTGCACTGGCCTTCACCTGGGGAGCTGGAGGCGTGGCCAGTGAGCCTGTCCGTCAGGGACATTCCAGAGGCCGTGCTGCGCTGAGCCACATTAGATGGGCCACATTTAGAAGAATATGAAGTTGCAATTGTGCTTTTCCTGTCCTGAAAGGTTGAATAGAAATGCCACAAATCCTACTGAAATTAACAACCTCCAAATATGATGTGGGAAAAGTATGACAACATTTTGACCAATTTTATTTTACTTTTTCTCTAGGTCCCTATTGTCACGTGGTGTGAGATGAAGTAGGACCCAAACGCAGGAATGAAAAAATAATGATTTAATAAAATAATGTCTAAGGTGGAAACAAATCTCAAAACTCAAAAATCCAAAGAAACAGGGACAGGGACAGAACTTGACGAGACAATACAATGAACCAGCAACAAGGGGAGAGGAGCACAGGTACATACACAGACACAGGTGCAACACATCAGGGCGGGGCAGACAATCAACAGGGAACAGGACAGGAAGCAAAACTGAAATGAAACCCACAGAACCAATGCCATAATAAAACCAAATACAGAAATTAAATCCACACCATGACACCTATGACGTTCCAGCAGTCGTCGAGGACCCAGGGGTCTTTCCTCCCCAGGGGATGTTTTACCCCCAGCAGGAGCTATTTTTTAACCTGCAGCTCTACGTTCCACAGGAGCTTTTTTTTCCTCCGCAGGAGTTCCTTCCTCAGCAGGAGTTCTTTCCTCAGCAGGAGATCTTTCCTCAGCAGGAGGTCTTTCCTCAGCAGGAGGTCTTTCCTCAGCAGGAGATCTTTCCTCAGCAGGAGATCTTTCCTCAGCAGGAGGTCTTTCCTCAGCAGGAGATCTTTCCTCAGCAGGAGATCTTTCCTCAGCAGGAGGTCTTTCCTCAGCAGGAGGTCTTTCCTCAGCAGGAGATCTTTCCTCAGCAGGAGATCTTTCCTCAGCAGGAGATCTTTCCTCAGCAGGAGGTCTTTCCTCAGCAGGAGGTCTTTCCTCAGCAGGAGATCTTTCCTCAGCAGGAGGTCTTTCCTCAGCAGGAGGTCTTTCCTCAGCAGGAGATCTTTCCTCAGCAGGAGATCTTTCCTCAGCAGGAGATCTTTCCTCAGCAGGAGGTCTTTCCTCAACAGGAGATCTTTCCTTAGCAGGAGGTCTTTCCTCAACAGGAGATCTTTCCTCAGCAGGAGGTCTTTCCTCAACAGGAGGTCTTTCCTCAGCAGGAGGTCTTTCCTCAACAGGAGGTCTTTCCTCAACAGGAGGTCTGATTCCAATCAGGCCTGCTGTATGCTGCTGAGACATGGACAATACCATCGTCCTCTGGATGGACATGGACATCATTTGGAACAATTGGATTACACAATTTGGAAATAATTTGGAACAATCTGGATTTTTGAATTTGGACTGAATTGAATTGCTGAATCTGGACACTAAAGCTGAAACGTGTGATTGAAAGACACGTCACAGAAGAATTCATGGCTCGACACAACAATGCAGCCTGAAGAAATTAACACGGAGAAGTGGGAGAGGCTGTTTTCAAATCAATATCTAAGAACCACCATCGACTGATGAAGTTTGGTATTTTACTGAAGATTGTTGACGAGTTTTATGAAAGATCTGAACATGTTTTATGAGTTTTCTGAGTTTTTGAAGTTTTCCGAGTTCTGAGTTTTTTGAAGTACCGAGTTTGAGTTTTTGAAGTATTGAGTTATGATGTTATGTTGCTGTTTATCGATTCTGATGGTCACAATGTGTGACCAGAGGGGAGAATTTAGGTGTTTCATGACACTTTGAAGCAACTGTGGTTAAAGTTCTAACTCATCATTCTAACATATGCTAAGCCAGTACTTTTCCACTGCATGTTTTGGTTACTCAAGGTTGAAGCTGCTGGCACTGTGGCAAACGCTGATTGGAGGATTTCATTCCTCCATGCTGTATACAGTAATACAGTGGTTCCCAAAGTGGGGGTCCCGACCCCCCGGGGGGTCGCGGGAACCCCTGGGGGGGTCGCAAGATGATTTCCACACACAAAAAAAGACTATAATATGTATTGATACTATGCATACATCCATCCACTGTGTGGCGCTGTTGCCTCGGTTACTGCCTGACGTGAGGAATAAAAGTTGTACGAGAATGGCATCCTGAGTTCGAGTGCAGTCAATACATGGTACCAGGAGTAAATTAAGGACATTTACACAAAATGAACAACATTCGACCACCAGAAGAGTTGAAACTCTCGGGGAATGTGAACGAAAACTGGAAATCCTTCAGGCAGAGTTTTGAGCTGTATTTGTTGGCAGCTGGCCTCGATGACGCGGACGAAAAGCGCAAAGTAGCATTGTTGCTAACGGTTGCGGGCCGCGGAGCACTGGATGTGTTTAACACATTTCAATTCGACGATGAAGATTATGGATTGAATGATGTTGTGACAAAATTTGAGGACTACTGCACGCCACGAAGAAATGAAACCTATGAACGGTACGTGTTCAGAAACAGGATGCAAAATGAAAACGAGTCCATAGAGCAGTATGTAACAGATCTACGTCTCAAAAGTCAGTCCTGTAATTTTGGTACTCTCTGTGATTCAATGATACGTGACCAAATTGTGATCGGAGTACAGGACAAGAGGGTGAGGATGCTATTGCTAAAAGAAACGGATCTCACGGTGGAGAAAGCCGTACGCATTTGTCAAGCATCCGAGAGCACAAAGTTACAGCTAAAAACTTTTGACAATGACTGTGAACCAGCGGCTGTGGACGCCATAAAGAAAGGCGCCAGAGAGACAGAAAAGAGGCGTTTTAGAGACACTAAAGACAAAAAGAGAGACAAAAGGGACTGTGAAAGATGCGGAAATAAGCATGCCCCAAAGCAATGCCCAGCATATGGAAAAGACTGCAGGAAATGTGGTGGCAGAAACCACTTTGCAAAGTGCTGTTTCGCAAAGAGAAAAGTCCACATGGTGAGACAGGACAAGACGGCGAGCAGCGGTGACGAGGAAGAACCTCTGTATCTGGATGCAGTTACACTAACGGACATGGACGGTACTGAGGATGAATGGATTGCACATCTAAATGTCAACGGTGTTGAAGTGCCACTGAAAATTGACACTGGTGCAGAGATAAATGTTTTGCCATTAAAATATTTTAACAAACTGAGTCCAAAACCGCAAGTGAGGCCAAAGAAACTGAACTTGAGAGCATACAACAACCAGCCTATTTCCCACAAAGGAGTGTTTCGAGCAACTATCAAAGGGGACGGTCGTTCCTGCAATGCTCTGTTTGTCCTTGTGGAGGAGGAAAGACAACCGATACTAGGACTCAAGGCAAGTAAAAAGATGGGACTAATCAAAAGGATTAATGTTATCGATGGCACAGTTCTAAATACTGCCAATTCACAACAGAAAAACGCAAAAGAAAGTCCGAACACAAAAAAATGAAACTGTGAAAAAGTACAGTGATATTTTTCATGGTGTTGGCTGTCTACCAAACAAATACAAAATACAGCTAAAGGACAATGCAGAACCAGTGATACACGCAGCAAGAAAAGTGCCTGTAGCACTCAAAGAGAGACTAAGAAAGGAGTTACAGACACTCATTGCCAAAGGAATTATCAGGAAAGTTGAGGAACCGACAGACTGGGTGAATTCTCTTGTTATTGTGGAAAAGAAAAACGGAGATCTGAGATTGTGCATAGACCCAAGAGATTTGAATAAGTGGATCAAAAGAGAACATTTCAAGTTGCCTACGAAGACAGACATTACAAGTGCAATGGCAGGTGCACGTTACTTTTCCAAACTGGACGCGTCATCAGGTTTCTACCAAATTGAACTGGATGAGGAAAGCGCAAAATTGTGCACGTTCAATACGCCCTTCGGAAGGCATTGTTTTCTGCGCATGCCTTTCGGGATTGCATCTGCACCTGAAGTTTTTCACCGGACTGTTCAACAGATGTTCGATGGTGTGGAAGGAGTTGGAGTATTCCTTGATGACGTGGTCATATGGGGAACCACACAAGCTGAGCATGACGAGCGTTTGGCAAAAGTAATGGAAAAAGCAAAGCAAGCAGGGCTGAAACTGAATAAACAAAAATGTCAGTTTGGGGTGAGTGAAATAACTTACCTGGGAGACAAACTGTCTGCTGCAGGGATACAGCCGGATCCCGAAAAGGTGAGAGCAATCACACACATGCCCATGCCCGAAAACAAGACAGACTTGCAGAGAGCTTTAGGCTTAGTCAACTATGTAGGCCGTTTCATTCCGAACCTGTCGGCTAACACAAAAGCACTACGTAGCCTGCTGGAAAACGGCATAGAATGGCAGTGGAGCCATGAGCACGACACTGAATGGGAGATGCTCAAGAGCAGCCTTGTGAGAGAGCCAGTGCTGAAATTTTATGATCCTGCACTTCCAATCAAAGTTTCCACAGACGCTTCCAAGGACGGGTTAGGAGCGGTGTTGCTTCAGCAGCATGAGGACACATGGTTTCCAATTGCGTATGCCTCTCGCACTATGACAGCAGCAGAGAGAAACTACGCACAAATAGAAAAAGAGACTCTGGGAGCGGTATTTGGATGTGAAAAGTTTCATGAGTACATTTATGGACAAGAAGTGGTGCTAGAGACGGATCACAAACCGCTGATCGCAATCTCCACAAAACCTCTGGGAGAGGCACCACCACGCATTCAACGCCTGCTGCTCCGCCTTCAAAAATACAGTCTCACATTTGAGTTTACACCTGGGAAACACCTCGTTATGGCAGATGCTCTCAGCAGAGCTTCTCTAGACTGTAAAGAGCCAAGCAGCACTGAACATGATGTGCAAGTGCATGTGGATGCAATAAGGAAGCACATGGCTGTGTCAGACAAAAAATGGAAACAAATCGCGAGAGCTACATCAAATGACGACACACTGCAAAAGGTGATCAAAAAGATTTGTTCACCAGGAGAACAAAACTTGAGCCACCCATACCAAAACTTCAAAGAGGAGCTGTCCGTGATGGAAGGAGTTCTTCTGAAAGGAAAGAGGATTGTCATACCAATTTCAATGCGCTCACAAATGTTACATCTCACACATGAAGGACATTTAGGCATTGAAAAGTGCAAAAGACGTGCAAGAGCCTTACTCTACTGGCCACAAATGAACAAAGACATTGAGAGTTACATCCAACGCTGCGACACATGTCAACAACACAGATACCGACAACAAAAGGAGCCACTCCTAGCCCACAGCAGACCAAACGAGCCTTGGAGAAAGGTTGGTGCAGACTTGTTTCACCTGGCAGGGAAAGATTACCTTGTTATGGTGGACTACTTTTCAAACTACCCAGAAGTTGCTTTTCTCACAGATACTACTGCAAAACAAGTAATCAAACACTGCAAAGCCATTTTTGCAAGACACGGAATCCCTGTGACAGTGGTAAGTGATAATGGACCTCAGTTCAGCAGCCAAGAGTTCAAGGACTTTGCTGACAGTTATGAGTTCAACCACGTAACATCTAGCCCACTGTTTCCACAGTCAAATGGCATGGCAGAAAAGGCAGTGCAGATTGTAAAAAGACTGTTCAAAAAAGCAGCAGAAACACGCAGTGACATTTACCTAGCGTTGCTTAACTACCGGACTTCGCCACTGGAGTGTGGAAAATCTCCAGCTGAACTCCTGATGAGTAGAGAACTGAGAACCCGTTTACCTTCAGCTTCACTCTTGCTGGAAAAGGAGGAAGAACAGCGTACAAATCAAGCCAAACAAACCCAGGCTTACAACAAAACTGCTAAACCATTAAGCCCACTATCACAAGAGGACGTGGTACGTGTCAGGTGTGATGGGAGATGGGGACCTGTTGCAAAGATTATAAGAGAGACGGCACCTAGGTCCTATGAAGTCATCACTGAGTACGGCAGCACACTGAGAAGGAATCGACGTCACCTACTAAAAGTACCAAAAACATCTTTTGTGGAGCTCGAGAACAGACGAGATGGACTAATGAAAAACACCAATCCAAAGCGTCCAACTTCCACACAAGGTACCAGTGACATTGTGCATGCTCCAAGTGACACCACCAATGTGACACCTGCAAATGCAGTGCAAGAAAGACCACGCAGAAACATTGTGAAACCTAAAAGACTTATTGAGGAATATTGACTGAGATATACAAAAAAAAAAAAAAAAAAAAACTTGGATTTAAAGGTTAAAGGTACATGTTTTATTTGTTTTACATGTATGCCTTATGTTAAAAAAAAAAAAAAGACTGTTTTATTGACATGCTTTCAATTGTCATGTAAGACCATGTTTTCTTATGGTACTGCTATATACGGATTATATATATATATAAAAAATATATATTGATTTTTTCCATATTGTTACATTTACATTTAAAAAAAAAGGGAGATGTACTGATACTATGCATACATCCATCCACTGTGTGGCGCTGTTGCCTCGGTTACTGCCTGACGTGAGGAATAAAAGTTGTACGAGAATGGCATCCTGAGTTCGAGTGCAGTCAATACATAATATATTTTAATAACGTTAGTAATTTTGTCCCAGTCATTGCAGCGTTAATCAAAATCATCACGTAACACAGCTCACATCATGCGCAGCGACAAAGCGTGTCCTGCTGTTGTTTGCTAAAACTAAAGGTGTTTGGAGGCTACAAATAAATAATACCTGCTTTAAAATGAAACGTGGTTAATTTCCACAACAGAAAAACCCGGAGGGGGAGAAAAGTCACTTGTATCAGGGGTATGTCAGAGAGGGCAGAGGAGGGAGAGAGGGCAGCGGAGGGAGGGAGGACAGCGGTAGAACAGCGCGTTAAAGAGGCCCGGCTTTTCGGAGTCAAAGGTAAAGAGGTCCGCACATTAAAAGCGGGTGGCCGGTTTATGCCTTTACTGACAGTAACTTTGGAAAGAGAAGCCGCGGGGATGAACCGCATAAAGTAACAGCAGAAAGCGGCCGCCCGCTTTTAATGTGCGGACGGAGAACAGTGAGGGCGAGCCGCAAGAAATGCGCTCCACTTCTGCTGAGGAGGGAGCCCACCAAGCCCATCACTGTCACTACATGAGTAAAAATATGCAAGCCTCCTTTTTTGGGCTGGACAGTGCAGCTCGGTAGTGGCGTGAGTCTCTAGAAAGCGTTACTCCGTATCAAGGAAATACATGCTCATTTCATGTGACGGAAGGGCTGTTGGGGGGGGCGGGGGTCGCGGGTTAGCAGGGCATTTATGATGGGGGTCGCGGGCTAAAAACTTTGGGAACCCCTGCAGTAATACACTTGCATTCTGTAACGTTCGTGTTCGTGTTGCTTTCTCTACCAACGACAATAAAACATGTCTTCTGTCTGAATTAAAGACATGATCCCAGACTTTGTCATCTTCTTCAGTAGTATTTGGTGTTAGTAGTAGTAGTGGTAGTATTTGACGTAGTAGTATTTAGTGTACTGGTAATAGTAATATATTGGTATTGTGGTATTTGGTGTAGTATTATTAGATGGATAGATCCCGTACTTTATTTATCCACATACATAATCCACATTTATCCACATACATAATCCACATTTCCTGATTGGTCTGCCGAGCTGGTTGCTGTCAGATTCAGATTCAGATTCATTTATTTGCCATTTGCAGTAAAACCACATAAGAAAAACTGTGCAAGACTACCCCAGTGTCCACCAGACGACACACACATCTCGAGGTCAGACTGCCGCCCTAACACACGACCCCAACACATGACCCCAACACATGACCCCAATCACGGCACTAGCTTCTTCAGACTGGTTGCATATGGTAGAATACGTGCAACATCTGACTGCTCACATCAAATGACCTCAGCCTCCTCTGAAAGACGAGTCCCCCCTGTACTCTGCGTCATCCCCTCCCTTCACATACGCCACAACAGCAGTATCATCCAAATACTTTTGTAAGTGGCAGTAGCATAGTTGTGTTGTAATTGAAGTTATTAGTAGTGTGTGGTGAAATAGTTTGTGTACAGTAGTATTTGTGGTAGCAGTATTTGTATCAGTAGTAATTGTAATAATAGTATTTGGTGAAGTAGTAGCAGGAGCTGTTTTGTATTTGACCCCGCTCTCTGTGATAAGCGCTATATATGATTACTTACTTACTTGTAGCAGTAGTGCTTGGTGTAGTAGTAATAGTAGTAGTAGGTTTGATGTTGCATATCCCCAAGCCCACTCGAAGTAGTAGTAGTATTTGGTGCAGTAGTAGTAGTCGCAGTATTCGGTGCAGTAAGTGATAAACAAAGATGGCGCCTTGTACGGTCGACATGGCTCTTTGCTGCTCTCTTTTTCTTTTGTTTTTACTTTTTAACTGTGCATCTGGCTGTTCCTACACCCGTGGGGAACTTATGAACATCCGACCCACCGTTCCCATGGACCTATTGCCTGTTTTCTTGGCATCTGCGGCTGATTTGTTTCATGTTCTAGCCAAAAAAGTGTGGGCCCGTAAAAGGGGAAAGCGCGGAGGCCTGCTCGTGCGTCTTAGGAGGAGAGGAGCGCGCACGGCTCTCCCCGGCATTTTTCTCTCCAACGTACGCTCACTGGGCAATAAGATGGACGAACTCAGCCTGCTCATGAGAAGAAACAAGGACTTCGCCACATCCTGTGTCCTCTGCTTCACTGAGACCTGGCTAAATGAGCGGATCCCGGACTGCGCTCTGGAGCTGCAGGGCTTTGGGCTGTTCCACACGGATCGCCATTGTGCGCTCTCAGGGAAGAGCAGAGGCGGAGGGCTGTGTTTCTACGTCAATACAAACTGGTGTAACGATGTGACAGTGATCTCCAAGCACTGCTCTCCTGCTCTGGAATATCTTTTCATCCATTGTAAACCATTTTACTCCCCGCGCGAAATTGTTTCATTCATTCTTGCCTCTGTTTACATACCGCCATGCGCGGATGCGCGCGAGGCTCAGCGCGCACTCGCAGAGCAAGTACTGTGTATGGAACGCTTATACCCGGACTCTCTGATTATTATCCTGGGGGATTTTAATAAGGGAAACTTGAGCCAGGAATTACCCAAA